ATCATCCATGGAAATGTTATATTTGTTACTCCTTTTTCTCTTTCAAATGCTCATAATTCTATGGGTTTCCTTCTGCTCATCTCTCTATGAGCTGATATGTTTTGACATATGTAGATCAAGCCTCTTTCTGCTACACCTGGAAATGCATTTCCCAGGGGAATATCCAAATATGTTGATCGGGGAACGCTTGAAATGTGTCTTTATCTTATCATTATTTCTCTGTCAGTGGTAATACTTCTTAAAATCTCCTGTCCAGCAATTTTCATTTTTCAACTCAGTCAGTAGCTTTATATCAAAGTACTCACTTGTGTAGGTCATGGCGGGATCAGGAGACTTGCAAGTATTTCGGTTGTTGAGATTTTTGCGCAGCCGGAACTCTGCTGATGGACATGCTAACTATGGCACGCAAATGGCGGTAAGTACTTTTTGTGCAAAATTAAGGTTCCTTTTGTTTCATGTAATTCAATTGCCTTGCATCTTATTTTTGAAATTTGGATATTAAAATGTAATTTCTGGAGCAGTTATTTTCTTGAAGTGGCTGGCAATCTTAAACAATAAATAAAATCTCAATTTACTGAGCACCCAGAAAAACATCAAGAAGTTCTAGCTCATTTATTGCGTTAACCTCAATACTATGGCCAAAAGGCCCAAAACAATTTGTCTCTAATGTATCAGTGAATTACTTGCACCGTGTAAAGTAATGAGATCGCAAAATGTGAGACTTTCTTTAGCAAGCTTAGGATTGCATATTTATTGTTGAGCAGATTCCTTCTATTCTTTTTTTTTTTTTGAAATATGAGACAGTATAATTTTCTTTCCTTAAGGTGAGCTTAGCCACAGGATTTTTGTTTCTTGGAGGCGGTATGCGAACATTTTCAACGAATGATGGCTCACTTGCAATGTTGCTCATTACTCTATATCCACGGTTACCTTCTGGACCAAATGACAACCGTTGTCACCTCCAGGCAAGTTTAAATCTCTTATTTATTCTTTGCATCGCTCTTTTTTGTGTTTGGTTTGGTTTGGTTGCTGTCCCTGTCTTATCTGTCAATTCTATAGAAGCAAGAGTTTCTTTTCTATATAAAATGTTACCCAAGACCAATCACTTCAAATGTTACCCAAGACCAATCACTTTGTGGATTGTGACTAAGCTTAGAAGTTGGTTTTAACTTTTGTGATATCCATGCTTTTGCCAGAATACTTTAAGGTGATTTTTTTCTTTTTTTTTAGGCATTCAGGCATTTATATGTCCTTGCAACAGAGGCTCGTTGGCTGCAGACCATTGATGTTGATTCTGGTCTGCCTGTCTATGCCCCTCTAGAAGTCACAGTAAAAGAGACAAAACTTTATTCAGAAACAAGATTTTGCGAGATTACACCTTGCATTCTGCCAGAGCGTGCTATTGTAAGAAAAGTTCAACATCTTGCCTTCACTTCCCTGCATATTTTTATAACAGAAAAAGACTACAGAAGTTTTCTTGATTTGCATGCTCACACTGCTTTCTACAAGATTATGAAAAATAATAATTTTTCTGGGAGAAGCACGTTTATGTTTTTTCATGAAATACCTGCTCAGCGATTCTACCTGTTTGTTTTGTCCACCGTCACCTAAAAATGTATTGTATCCTGCAGCTAAAGAGAATTTGTGTATGTGGTCCTCGATACTGGCCCCAGCAAATAGAGCTTGTACCTGAAGGTAGTTGATACATTTGCTTATATATTCCTATTTTGTCCTTGGTCATTTTGTTTACCTGGTTTTAAGATATTTTATATTTCCAATGAAATATAGAGAAAAATTGGTGGAGCTTTGGGGACAAGAGTGATCCCTTCAATTCTGGTGTTATATATGTCAAAAGGAAAGTAGGAGCTTGTTCGTATGTTGATGATCCAGTTGGGTGTCAGTCACTGCTTTCACGAGCAATGCATAAGGTTGTATACGCCATCATATACTCTCAACTAAGATAGACTAATATGCAGTCGTAGAAAAATGGTTCTGATACTGGTTTCTATGCTTTCTGTGATACAGGTTTTTGGTTTAAGAACTCTGGGAGAATCTAATATGATTGCTAATAGTCATAGAGAACTGGACTCCGAAAGTGTTGATCACTTGGTCAGCACTTTCTCATCAGATCCAAGCCTTATAGCGTTTGCACAGTTGTGCTGTGACAAATCTTGGAATAACAGGTAAGTACTGTTTCATCCGATTGATACACATGTGTTTGTGCTTTTAGATCTCTTTGGCCTCTATATCTTAAAGTCATAACAGAGTTTTATAGAAGCCCCCAAAAGGGTGAATTCTCACAAATTCATTTATGCAGATCTGATTCTGAATTCAAGGAGTTCTGTCTGCAAGTGTTGTTTGACTGTATAAGCAAGGATAGACCAGCTCTTTTGCAGGTGATTGCTGCTTAAAGCCACCTAACCCTATTATTCAATGTTAAACGAAACATTCTTGTTGGCATTTGTATTCTAATCTTGAGTATACGTTGCATGATTCTTGTAGGTTTATTTATCTTTGTATACAACCATTGGTTCCATGGCTGATCTGCTTGTCAAAAGCGATAGTAACATGTGTGATTCACTTTCCATCTCAAGCCTCAAGGTACTGTTCCTGCAAATGATGGAACCGAAACACAGAAAATTGATTTACATTTTGTAATCAGCTTTGAGTTCCTATCTTTGGATCTAATCTTATGATCTCAGGTTGCTCTTGCCTACAACGAAGCGGTATCAAGTGGAAGATTGGCCTCTTCAGGTGGCTTTGTACAATCAATCTTCTTATCATCACTGAGAAAGCGATGTGAAGAGATTTTGAATTGTTCAACGGAGCTGAAGATTAATTTGAGGAATTATTTGACCTCAGAAGCATGGCCTGATGATAAGAGCTCAAAGTTGCAGAAAGATATAATAATACTCTCATGGTATTTAAAATGGTTCAGCGTACCATCGCCATCGATCATCAAAGCAGCAGTGGAAAAGATCAAATCCAAGTCCAAAAACTCAACTTCGGCAATACCTTTGTTGCGGTTGTTGTTACCAAGTACGCATATTAGTGCGATTAGTGAAATTGATAGTGTCTTTTTTGCCTCAGATGAGACAACTGTATCGTGAAAACATGAGTTCCTACTCTCTTCGTTTGGGCTATTAATTAGCAGATTAATTTTGTGAGCAAAGCTATCATCGTCAATTTCAATTTCAAATTCAAATTCAAATCCGAAACCGGTAAAAAGAAAACACAAAACTCGGTCGGGGGCATTACGTGGTTAAACGTACCGGGCTATTTACACCTATTTCCAAATTGGCCCACCTTTAGTCTCACGTAATGGGCTTTGAATTTGGCCCATTATAATTATCGTTATTATGGCGCTTAATTAGGGTAACGGTACGGAAGATCCCACTTCGTTCCTTTCCTCTTGCGCTCGTCAAAAGATCTACCGGCGAAAATCGCAACTCTCAGGTACTTCTAAATCGATTCATAAATTGAAACCCTATGATTTGGTTCCGTCTTCTCCGACGGCTCGAGCAAATCTCTTGGCTTTTTTTCTCAGCTACCAGTCACTTTCGTTGCTCTCCGTTAAATTATTAGGGTTTGATTTTCAGTTGCTGCTTGTCTTAAGGTTGAAAAGGATTGATTTTGTTCTGTTAGGCGAAAGATTTTTCAGAAGTTGATTTGCCCTAAGCTTAAACCTTTTATTAACTTGTTCTTGTTAGTTTGCAGGATGAGGGAGTTTTTGAGAATTAAGACGTGCCAATGGGATGAAAAAAAGTTCAGTATCATCTACCATTGTCCTCACTGTGTCTCCATCACCAACCTCCAGGTTTACCGGAGCGGACAAGTCTACAAGTTTGTGGACCGTGGGTCTCACTATCCTGTGGTGAACGTGACTTGGGAGGAGGATGGCAGTGTTCAGATCCACATCACATGCCATTGCAACGAGAGAATCGAGTTCAATCGCCAAGGCAAGTCTGGATCTATTCAAGTTCTTCATTAGGTTGTAATAGATGTTGCTGCTTTGACAATTTGGATGCCTAGGGTTTGTTTTTATCAAGCAATCTGCTTTCTTGACAATCGGAATGTAATAAGAGACGAAACATGATTCCGGGTGCCTTAGGTTGCTATTGTATCAAGTATTCAACATCTTTTCCTCAATTCCTCTGCATATCTTTATGAACTGAAAAAGACTACTCTAGTTTTCTTGATTATTACACTGCTTTATACATGATTTTGAAAACAAATCTAGTTTTTCTGGGGGAAGTCACATTTGTGGCAATTGCAAGTTGAACATCAGAAAACTAGGGCCATATATGTCAGGTTGCTCTTGCTTACAATGAGGTGATATCAAGTGGAAGATTGGCTTCTTCTTTAGCATCACTGACAAGCTATGTGAATTGCTCGCTGAAGAGAAAGAAGTCTCATTTAGGTTTACTTTACCAATATGCATCACGAAAACATTGGTTCACATCAACACTAGTCCCGGCCAGAAGAGTGGTTCGACATTCATTGAGAACCACTGCATCGCACAATTATTTCACATTCCCACTTTTTCCTCGTAACAATCCCATAGAAGCCACCACAAATCAATCCATTGAGAGAAAATAATGATTTCCAAAAGAAAAAGAAAAAAAGCAATGTGAGTAAAAGAGTACAACATTGTAACCTGACAAAACAAACATTCACAAATGATAAACAACTTGAAACCATGTAATCAATCCTCTAGACACACTGTCGCGAACCGGTTCCAATCTACACAAAATTGGGCCGATCCATTGGAGGATACGAACCGAACCGAATATTATGGTTAAACCCGAAACCGGTTTAAGAAAACACAAAACTCGGACGGCTTCAGTGAAAATTCAAATCATCGGTCATCCTCTCTGACTCTCTCAAATCGAATCTGAAGTTTTCTTCTTATTCTACGATCAAATTCCGACGAACAAAATTCTCTTGCTTCCACCGATTTCTCCGTCCGATGCGTCTTCTCGATTGAAAATTCTATCCTCGTTTAAACGACAAGTTGTTCCACCGGAGGAGTGAGCAATCGGCTCTAATTTTTCTTGATTTAGCTCGATGTTCGCCAGAAAATTTCTGCAGAAATCCTCCGGCGGTCAGAATCCTCCTCCTCCTATAGCTCCTCCGCCTCGGGTATTCCATCCTCATCTCTTTTAATTCTACTATCCTTGAGGAATATAAGTTCCATTTTGATGCTTCTACATCATTCTCCCGCTTGGAATTTCACTCTCCGTATACTAGCTTAGGCTTTTTGCTTTCTGGGCTCAGCTGTATTTTTCTGTGGAATTTGATTGATGCCTATAATGTTCCCCAAGTTATTAAATTTGCAAATATTTTCTTCGCAATGAATAGTTTCTTCTATTTTAAAATGTAGTCGATGTCACTCATATATGGCTACGAATCTAGGATTGAGAATATATTGGAGACGAGAACTTCAGGAAAAGAAATGTACTTTACAAAACTTTAATTTTTGATCATTGAGATGGCTTCAGGAAGAGATGTCTGGTTTAGGATTGAACGCATGCTACTTACCTTATTATGCATCACAAAAAAATTGGTTAACAATAAGTCTTTAAATTCCATGCTTAGACAGCTCCAAACCGTCCTCCATTCCAGGAATGCTTTTTTTTTGCTGTAGACGTTCACATGTAGTATGTATCTTTGCAGGGATGTTTGCTAGCAGAAGACTTGGATCCCCATTTAGTCACCCACTTTGGGATACCTTCGACGGCATCTCTTCTTGCCTTTGACCCTATTCAATGCCTCTTGGCTGTGGGAACACTGTAAGTTCTTGTCTAAGACAACTATAATATCTATGATGAGAGAAACAACTATCTCTCTTGTTTGTATTTCATTTGAACTTTAAAAAGTAATGTTCTTTTTGCTAACCCTTGCAGAGATGGAAGAATAAAAGTTATTGGTGGCGATAACATCGAGGCGATTCTTGCATCTCCTAAGCAGTTACCTTTCAAAAACTTAGAGGTTTGTGGTATTCTGTTCACCTCTTGATATTTTGAGAGGCTATAATCACGTTCAGTTTCAAAATATTGGTGTCTGATTATAGCTTCTGTGTAGTTCCTTTTCTATTTCCTGACGTGCTTGCTAGCTTAAATCTCTTTCTTCTTAATAATGGTTTACAAGAAGTTCGATCACATATACTAACTTTCATTTTCAAATATCCTTGAGCGATCTTATTTGAGTGCTGTAGTGGGCAGAAATTGTTTTTCTCTAGCCCATCCCTTTCTGGATAGATCAACTTACGTTGTGAACTTGGGACATATATATTACAGTTCAGCTGCGTTGTGATCCCAGTTATCTGTAACTCCACTTGACATTTTATCTGTATATCTTACAGTTCATGCAGAACCAAGGCTTTCTGGTTAGCATCTCAAATGAAAACGAGATTCAGGTAACAACTCAGTGTGACGTTTGAAATTTCTGTATTATCAGCTGATGTCTTCACTTCTGTTTGACTTTCTTGACTCTCATCTTATAATCATCCACTCCTTCATTTTTCTCAACAACCTATTGGATCGGTTTCATCAACAAAGTTTCCCTATTTATTAGGTTTGGGACTTGGATCTTAGGCAACCAGCATCAAGCTTAAAGTGGGAGTCAAACATTACTGCGTTTGCAATCCTTCATGGCACTGGTTACATGTATTGAGCTTATTAGGATTACAATTTGGAGCACTCTTATTCCATTGACAGTAACTATGACGTAATTAACTGTGTTTCTTATCTCGTTCACAGGTATGTTGGTGATGAGTACGGTATGGTGTCTGTTCTAAACTACAGTGCTGATGAAGGGAAATTACTGCAGCTTCCTTATTATGTTCCAACTGATGCTTTAGCTGGTATGGGGGGTCCTTCTTTCAATGTGTTTAGAAGCACTACTGAGAAAGTTTTAGTTTTCAGCGCTTAGGCATTATTTTATTTCTTAGTGGTCTATCTACCTTCACCAAAAAATTTGCAAAGTAATTTTTATCTGGGAACCATATCCACTTCGTAGTTCAGGTTATATGCAAACATGAAGACCTTCAGCGTTGCATTTAAGTTATTTTTTAAAACTTATTTTCTCCCATTTCCCTCTTTCTGTAGAAGCAGCAGGGCTTTCATCTCCTATTGATTATCCGGTTGTTGGACTTCTTTCTCAGCCTTGTTCAAAGGGAACTAGGTGAGACAAGATTTCTTCTGATATTATGCTTGTTTTTTTAACCTATAGATGGAAAGCATTGCTTGATAAGTTCAATACTTCAAATTTAATCTTCTCATTGAACTTAAGTGCTATGCAAGGAGTTGTGTCTCTAAAACTGACCATCTGTGCTTGTCATAGCATTTGAAACTAGTCTTTTCCATTTTACTTTTCCCTCTGCGTCTATTAATTATTTAGTTTTATGCTCCAATGTCCGCTACTGTTGAGTTTAAAATTAAAACACCATCTGAAGACATCATAGCTGGAAATAGTGAGCATTTACTTATCTTCATGTCTAACTTGAGAGACATTGTATCATTTTTTCTTTTTTGGACTGTGATTCTAGTCCTGTCAAAAGAGTTCAAATCTTCATGTTGCTATGCTATTACACTGTATTATAAGTAAGAATAAGATCTTTCTTATGATTAATTTTCATAACGATTTTGAAGAAATTATCCTGCAGATTGTTGATTGCATTTTCAAATGGATTACTTTTTCTTTGGGATGCATCAGAAGATCATGTCGTTTTAGTTCGGGGGAACAAAGATCTACCTGTGGAGGGTAGCACAGTTGCTGATTCTCTGGAAGCCTCACATGATGAGCTTTCTGATCTTGAACTCGATGGAAAAGAGATAAGTTCTTTGTGTTGGGCATCAACTGATGGTTCAGTTCTTGCTGCTGGCTATGTGGATGGGGATATATTATTTTGGGACTTTTCTGATGGGCAAAAGGGGAAGCCATCTAATCACGTTGTTAAGTTACAGTTGTCTTCGGCTGAGAAAAGACTTCCTGTCATTGTTATGCATTGGTGTTTGGATGTATCTCGCAAGAGTAGTGGTGGAAAACTCTTCATCTATGGTGGTGATATCATTGGATCTGACGAAGTACTTACGGTAAGAACTCAGCTCAAATCAAAACGTTCATAGCACAGATCGGTGATCTTGGGCCAACTATAAACCGAGTTTCTTTCCAAAAATAAACATACGAAAAAGAGTCGCAACTTTTCTTCTAAACATGTTGCATTTTCATGGTACAAGGGAAACCCAAACATGAATCTTACCTTGTAGATGAAAACAAATAGCCTAATATGATGTCCTTTTGCTGATCACCATGTGCAGATGTTAGGTCTTGATTGGTCTTCTGGTATGGGAGGTCTGAAATGTGTTGGCCGTGCTGACCTGACCCTTAGCGGTTCATTTGCTGATATGGTCTTGTCTCCAATTGCCAGTTCAAGGCAAAGTGGGATGTTTTTATTTCTGTTGACAAATCCAGGGCAACTGCAAGCATATGACGATGCCTCTCTGGCTTCTCTGATGTCTCAGAAAGAGAATAAGATTTCTGTTTCTCCACTGCCATATCCAATGGTTGTACCAACGATGGATCCACATATGACAGTAGCAACGTTTGCTGCATTAAATGTGAATGATAAAACGTCATTAGCTCTTTCTGAGGTAGTCCCTCTACAAATTTCCCTAGTTGCGGTTCCCATTGTGAGGCAATTAACTTATATCTTATTCCTGATAGATAGTCTTAGCTGCAAAAGCTCGAACCCCACGTACTCCATCTGGAGAAAGTGCACAATGGCCTCTGACAGGTGGTGTTCCAAGCCACCTTGATGACTACAAGCTTGAAAGACTTTACATGGCAGGATATCAAGATGGGTCTATGCGAATATGGGATGCAACCTATCCATGTCTGTCTCTTATTTATATTTTGGAGCCAAAGGTATTAATGTTATAACTTTTCTTCTTTTGAGCTTCATCTTGAAAACTCGTTTAAATATTTTGATGAGAAGGTTTGCCTGCAATAAATAATTTCATCCTTCACCAATGATCAGGCAAGTGTTATTGACATAACTGGAGTAGATGCATCAGTAACGGCATTTTGCTTCTGCTCTAAGACTTCTTGTTTGGCTGTTGGTAACGAATTTGGTATGGTAAGAAGACCTGTTTCTGTTGATACCTTCTTGATTTCAGCTTAGATTTTAATGTGCATCTGATTATTTCTCGCTCTTCTGAATCTGTAGGTTCGCCTATTCAAGCTGGTCGGCCATGCAAGTGGAGGAACCTTGGAAGTTGTTACCAACACTGAGAAGAAAGGTTTGGCTATTGTTACAACGTTGACACTATAGATTTGTTATGCTTTACCTCATGCTGTAGGTTCATTGCTTGTAGCTCACCATTTGCATCAAGAAGATGGTCCTCAATGGTTGGCTGCGTTTTCATTCCTGAGTTCCCCAGTATGCACCCTGCAATTTGTACAGTCTACAAGAAGGCTTGCCGTGGGATTTAAATGTGGCAAGGTAGGGATTTAACATATGTTTAAGTGTCGGCATACAGCTGCTTTCTCTAGTTGAAAGTAAACAAATTAAAATTTCATTTCAAATTTCAAATTTCAGGTTGCAATGCTTGACACTGGTGTGCCATCAGTATTATTCGTTACAGATAGCTTATCTGACTCCGGTTCTCCGATCAAGTCACTCTATGTGCAATCCTCTTCAGCTCCAACAGCCTCAAAAAGTGATCCAACTGATCACAACTCCATAAATTCTGAAGATGATTTAATCTTGTGTGCAATGACCAAAGATGGACAAACCATTATTTTGGATGGCAATACTGGGAAAATACTCGCCTCATGCTTGAGATCTCTAAAGAACCCAACTGCGATTTGTATGCACATTATAGGTAGTATATCTGATACTAACATAAAAGTGTGTTTTCTTATGCATCTAGTATTCATAAAAATAATTCTATTTTGCAGAGAACTGCTATGAAAACTCTGAAACGCCCAATGGAAAACCAGCTGGAAATCCATCTGGGAAGGAGACTCATATAATCAATGCTAGTGAGAGTCATTCACCATCTGAACAGAATGCTGTCACAGAAACAAAACTTGCTGATCAGATGTTTGCAAACTCAGTATTTCTCATGTGTTCTGAGGATGCACTGCGCTTGTATTCTTTAAAGTCTTTATCTCAGGTAAATACAGGATCTACCTTTATTTATGAAACCTAAAGTATCTTGCTGGCTTTTTCTGATAACAAGGACTTGCTTTCAATACCTAGGGAAGTCTTGAGAGCATGATGGAGGTAAATCTTCCAAGGCCGTGTTGCTGGATGGGAATCCTAAAAAAAGATGGAAGGGAATGTGCAGTACTCCTGCTTTACCGAACAGGGCATATTGAAATAAGGTGAATTTCTAATTGGCTACCACAAGTATCATGTATATGCCAGATAAAAGTTAGTTACCAAATACAATCTTGTAACTATCTAGTCTGAAGCCATTAATTGCTCAGAAATCAGCTTTAAAAGAATGGTTTCTTAATTGAACAGATCTTTCCCGAATCTTGAAGCTGTGGGAGAGAGCTCTTTGCTGTCACTTCTTAGGTGGAACTTCAAGCCTAACATGGAGAAGACAGTATGTTCGGATGATTTCGGCCATGTTGTCCTGGTGAGATTTCTTAGAAGATAGCTTTCAACATGTGATGTATAAAGTATGCCAAGTTAGATCTTGATTTATGAGTTGGCATGTATAACATCATAAGAGAATATTTTTGTTATCTCAGATGTTAAGGACTAATAAAACTAAATCTACAGGTAAATGGTTGTGAAGTTGCCATCCTTTCGTTTTTGGCCCACGCAAACGGCTTCAGGTACTGGCTTACTGTTTGCTGTTCCATACTTTGTTTCTCAGTGACTACAACTAGAACTTTTGCATGCATAGCTAGCAAAGTAGCAGTTAAGTTACTAATACCAACTCTGCATTCATCTCAGGCTCCCAGAGTCTTTACCTTTGCTTCATGACAAAGTCCTTGCAGCAGCTGCTGACGCTACCTTTAGCCATATCTCTGCTCATAAGAAAAATCATGTATGTTCTGTTTTCACATGTGAACCCTTTTTTCGTAAGCTCTATTGTTTTGCTATAAAAGTGTCTGTGACCACAGGATGGCGCTCCCAAATTCCTAAGTAACATTATCAAAGGCTTCAGATCAAGCACTGAACAGAAGATGGACCAAGTACAAGATTTCTCCCACCTGGGGAACATCTTTTCTAATCCACCATACTTAAAACCTTCTGATATTGGTGGCGACGACGAAAAGATTGTCGAGCTAAACATAGGTTTGCAATATCTACACTAAGTTACTCCTCCCCGGGTTCCTGCCTCTGACTAAAAATGGTTTTCTGTAGATGACATCGAGATAGATGAACCTGTGATCATCTTGCCTTTGACAGAGAAAGACAAAAAAGAAAAGAAAGGTAAAAGATCTGTCCGCCTCAAGTTCTAGTATCATTGTGAATGCATCAGACGAATCATAAGGTTTCTTTGCAGATAAGAGAACGGATAAGGAAAAGCTGTTTGACGGTGCATCCAGCGATGCACAACCCAAAACGAGAACAGTGGAAGAAATTAAGTCCAAATACAGAAAAGCAGGGGTGAGTCAAAACCAATTTGATAAACCCAAATAGCTTCTCTTTTGCTTCCATCTCTAACATGGTTGGGTAATTTTTCCAGGAAACCTCAGCAATAGCTTCACAAGCGAAGGACAAACTTCTTGAGCGGGGAGAAAAACTCGAGGTCATATTTTACCCCGCAGAGATTTCACCTTCTTTTAAACTGGCATGTTTCCAATCTATGTAAGACACTGATCCTAACTACAAAACATCTATTTTCTTTGTTTGGTTTGCCAGAGAATCAGCCAACGCACAGCTGAGCTTCAAGACAATGCTGAGAACTTTGCATCCATGGCACATGAACTTGCTAAGCAAATGGAGAAGCGAAAATGGTGGAACATATGATAAAGTTGCAGTCATTGTGGGTTCTTCCGTATATAAATTAATTTATCTTTTGGGTTACCACAGGTGAAATACTCTCTTTCATGTTTATTTATCAATCAAATCTGTAAAATAGATTGACCAAAGGGAGCAACCCTTCTAACTTGAGAAGTTGCTTGTGAGCTGATTTGAGGCTGCTATGACTGTCTATCAGAATTTTAAATTAAAAAAAAAAAACTGTTTCATTGCTTTATGAAATTGGGACCCCAATTTGTTTTGTCCTTTACTTGATCCAACAGCTTTACTTGACCACTAACGACACACACATTTGACTAATGCTTAAAACCCTAAATCCCGCTTTATTCCTTCTCCTTTTCTTTCTAGTTACACAACACAGAACAGAACACCACACATTCGTACTTACATATCTACTGATAATTGAAAGACGACCTCATAAAGAAATAGCCTTGGAGCTAGAAAAGCACAGAGAAGACTGATTAAGAGAGATACACGACGACAAGGATCAACCAACACAGAATCCATCTCTCTTTCTCTCTCCACGTTATCTCTTCACTCAGAGAGTGCAAATACAAAGAGAGACTTTTTCCTCTTTACTTCTTGGGAAGAGGCTCCAATGGCAAGCACGGTTTTATCAGAATGTGGTATTAGACCTCTCCCCAGATTCTACCCTAAACCCACAACCTCTTTTGCCTCTAACCCTAAACCTACTTTCAAATTCAATCCACCAGTTCAACCTCCTTCTACTCTCAATTCCCTATATGGGTTCTACTCTAAAACCAGGAACTGGGCGTTGAATGTGGCAACGCCTTTAACAACTCTTCAGTCTCCAACCGAGGAAGACACGGACAGATTCGACCCAGGTGCACCTCCTCCCTTCAATTTGGCAGATATAAGAGCAGCCATACCTAAGCATTGTTGGGTTAAGAATCCATGGATGTCAATGAGTTATGTTGTCAGAGATGTTGCTATCGTCTTTGGATTGGCTGCTGTAGCTGCTTACTTCAACAATTGGCTTCTCTGGCCTCTCTACTGGTTTGCTCAAGGAACCATGTTCTGGGCTCTCTTTGTCCTTGGCCATGACTGGTATCAACTAATCCTCATGCTTCCTCTGCTTACTTCAAGTGTTTTGGTCTCTCTCTATATATTATTAACCAAGTATTCATGTTGTTTACCTTGTAGCGGACACGGTAGCTTCTCGAATGATCCGAGGCTGAACAGTGTGGCTGGTCATCTTCTTCATTCCTCAATTCTGGTCCCTTACCATGGCTGGTGAGTTTTGCTTTCAATCCCTGCAATATAATACAAACCTTATTCTCTCTTGGTAATGAATCACTTGAAGAACTCACATTCTTCTTGGAAATACTTGAATTTTTCCTTGTAGGAGAATTAGCCACAGAACTCACCACCAGAACCATGGGCATGTCGAGAATGACGAATCATGGCATCCTGTAAGTTGCACTATCCATAACCAAATACAGATGTCGAAACCTGGTTTCATTTTTTTATTACTGTACTTAAGATAGAGCTTATGTTTTTCTAACTGCAGTTGCCTGAAAGCATTTACAAGAAATTGGAAAAAACGACTCAAATGTTTAGGTTTACACTGCCTTTCCCAATGCTCGCATACCCTTTCTACTTGGTAATCCTTCTGCATCTTACTATAATCTCTCCCTCTGTTTATGTCAAGTGGAAGAAGCTCATGTTTCACATCTGATTCACTATGTTCTTGATGCAGTGGAACAGAAGTCCAGGGAAACAAGGTTCTCATTATCATCCGGACAGTGACTTGTTTCTTCCAAAAGAGAAGAAAGATGTTCTGACATCAACTGCCTGTTGGACTGCAATGGCTGCTTTGCTTGTTTGTCTCAACTTTGTCATGGGTCCAATCCAAATGCTCAAACTATATGGCATCCCTTATTGGGTATCCTCTACTTCTGTACCTCTCCATTTCAGACAAACCGGTTTTTGTATTCCTTTGTTGCCTCAGATGTGAAGTTATTTATTGGCATTTCAAACACAATTAATGCAGATATTTGTAATGTGGTTGGACTTCGTCACTTACTTGCATCACCATGGACATGAAGACAAGCTCCCTTGGTACCGTGGAAAGGTATGCACAATCTACTTCACCATTTGTAATCGAGTTACCTGAGACACTGTTGTTGTGAGAATCTCAAACGCTTCGTCATGTACTTTTCCCAAACATAGGAATGGAGTTACCTGAGAGGAGGACTCACAACATTGGATCGTGACTACGGATGGATCAATAACATCCACCACGATATTGGAACTCATGTGATACATCATCTTTTCCCGCAGATCCCACATTATCATCTAGTAGAAGCAGTAAGAGTTTCTTGATGATGTTAATTAAAGACTATTCTGGTGTGGACTTGCTTCAATATGGTGTTAAAGTGCTTACCTTTCCATATCTACCTTTTCCTTTTCCTCTTTTTCTAGACTGAAGCAGCTAAACCAGTACTAGGGAAGTACTACAGAGAACCGAAAAACTCTGGACCTCTGCCACTTCACTTACTGGGAATCCTTATAAAAAGTATGAAACAAGACCATTTCGTAAGCGATACAGGAGACGTAGTGTATTATGAGGCAGATCCAAAATTCAACGGACAAAGAACTTGACAACAGACTGCAATGAACCAGGCAGGAAGTTAAAAATTCATCTTGGCCCATTCTTTATGTTCTTATTGTTTTGGTTTAAAGCCTTTTCGAGATTGAAAAGCATTTATTTGTAGAAACCTGTGGTAAAACTCTCGATCAAATGAAATGATATATGATCAGAAGAATATATTTCATACAAGGATCTTGTTCTTGAAAGCCCAACGACATTATTATGGTGCCGACCCAACGCTTTGAATCTAAATCTATTACTGATGAAAAGAAAGGGCATTATTATTATTATCAGCCAGTTACAATTCAAAACTTTAATGACATAGATTGGAAACAACACGTTGCTGCTCAAAACTATAGTTACAAGATAAATTACCTTGGCTTATATTGCTTGCCATTAGTAGTGTACAGAGCGAACTGCAGTTATGAAGGAGCTTATCTTAGACTTATCCTTCTGGATACCGTCTGTACCGCAAATACCGCTGCTAACATCAATTCCATCAGGTTGAAGGATAGAAAGAGCTTCTGACAAGTTTGTCGGATTGATTCCGCCAGCTAAGAGCCACCCATTTCTGCTTCTGATGGAAGGTAACTTGAACTGAGCCCAGTTAAATCCTTTCCCACTGCAGAAAATCGTTACGATTGAACCTATCACACTCTTGATATTTCAATCACTTGTGAAAGACAAACGATTTCATTAGACAGTGCGAAGAAATTTAAAAGTTGATCTAGGTACCTCCCGCCCGTTGCACTATCCACAAGAATCCAATCAGCGAGATGACAATCCTCTTCAGGAACTTCATTCAGGAGCTTTCCCTCCTCATTTGCATTAAGGACATATATGACTCTCCTTTCACGTACTAACCTCGAGAAAGCAGCACGCGAACCATTACCATGAAGCTGTAAGAAAATATAAATATCAACCGTTTAGAAAGTGAGAAAATCACCTTGGTGAGAGCAAAATTAAAATAGATAAGAATGTAGACAACCTGCACAAGCTCAAGGTCTGAGGCATCAGCTGCTCGCAATATCGTGTTCTCATCATCATCAACAAAGACACCAACAGATTTGGCCCCACCATCCCTCGCCACTTTGGAGATATCCTTTGCAACAGAAAGAGAAATGGAACGTTTTGAATTCGGCCATACAATCATCCCGATGAAATCAGCACCAGCCTCAACTGCCATAGCAGCATCTCTGGCTGATGTGATGCCACACATCTTAACCAAAGGTCTATCCTTTCCTCTTTCATCATCCTTAGGAGCTACATTCTCTTTGCTGGAAACACTGCAGCTCAATTTCCTGTTCTGAGCATACCCGACTCTCGAGACAGACACCTTTCGATAGCTTAAACCTGAGAATATCCAGTAGGAAACAAGAGATCAGTGTCAAGCTTCAGTAATTTACCGGAAACAAAGAGAATCACACACACACAAGGTCTAGTGAAATCTCAAAAAAATTTACCAGATTTGTAGGTTCTGGAGAAATTCAAAGCTCTAGAATGAGCGAGGAGATCTGTGGATATTCCTGAGGAAAAGAATAAAGCTTTGCTTCATCAACTGATCTTAGAATAAAGCTTACTATTAACAAAACAACACAAGCTCTGAATTTAAAAGACAGTCGAGATTCCTCTTATAAAATGAAGATGACAAGCAAACCAATTTAATATAAAATGGATCATCACTAAAGCAGATTGATAGCAGCTAAACACTAGTAGAAAACAAAAATAAGCTCTTTGAGTAAAAACATCGAACAAGTTATCTGCATTTCTCCCAACCAGCTCATCCCCGGAGTAAGAATACCTGTAGACATCTTAATTCCACTGCCGGAGCCTCAGATGATATCGGATTTTCTCCCGTCGATGAAATGAGAAGAGAAGGGTCAGCAGAGACGGCGGTTGTACGGCTGAAGAAGATCGAAGAGAATGGCGGAAAAACAAAAACGAATCTACCAACTTTTTGTTAGGTGTAATTAAACCGTCCGAAACGAACCAAACCGAATAATCGAATTTCTGTTTGATTTTTGGAAAACCGAAGCAACAATTTGCTTTCGGTTTAGTTTTCAAGTGAGCGCGATGATGTCGAATTGGAAACGCTCTCGGTTTACATGATTATCGGTCGAACCAATCGTACCACACTACCACAGATCACTTAATTTTTTTAAAAAAAAATTATTTCAATAAATAAATCATAAATATATATATTCCAATAAATTTTCATTTTTAAAGTCTTAGATTTTTTTTATCATACGTTAAAAAATCATGATGTTTGTTCTTATCATATTCGAGCTCAATAATGTTCTATACATTACTTGACGAGTTGGTTAGAAAAAAAAAATGATGTATATGGTTTTATCATATTCAAATTCGATAATCATCTACATATTAATTGACAATTGGTTAGAAAGAGAATATTTTGGTGTATGATAATCCGAGTCTCAAAATTTTCTAACAACGACAATATATATATATATATATATTTCGGAAAACTATATTCCAAAGTTTTGTAAATTTCCATTAACAACAACAAAAAATCCGTAAAATTTCTCACGTTCGAAGCTAATTGATAAATTTCAATAATGTTATCTCAGCAATTGTCGGTAAGGAATGTGAATGTCTACAACAACAACATGTCATTTGTCAATATCTACTTGAATAAGTGCCAAGAAATGATCACTTAATAATAGATTTTTGGACGATGTAAATATGGGATTAAGTTATGTGATCAAGATTGTCGCTCTACTATAGTAGACTACTAACTACTGTTTTATTTAACTAACGGATTGCAAGTTGAAAAAACAAAATAGAACAATTTGTTTTTCTTTTTAAATATCAAAGTGTGAACGCAATGTTATTCCAAGGCACATGATGAGACATGCAAAGACAACATTTGCCGACATCTCTAGTTACACGGCGGTTCCTCCATCAAAGTGAGCCCCCAACACGTGCTTAAAACACGTGCTAAATGTGATTTTATCTATAACTTACCAAACTATTCATTTTTTCTTATAAACTTTTTAAATGCAAATTTAGCGGATTTATTCGAACAGCTAAAAAACAGAACAAATTTCCAAATTTTTATTTTAAAAGTAGAAAGCAAACTTAATTTTCATTCGTTTCGTCCTTGTTAGGCTCAATCAAACTAATCTCTCTAACTATCATTTTAGGCTCAATCAAACTCTTATTCTCTTTACGCGAAAATTCATAATTTTGACACACACAAAAAAAGACAACGCCTTCTGTCTTCTCCTTCGTCCAATTTAAAAATTAATGCTCCATAGTTTATTTATACTTATACGGCCGGTTTCGTCCTTATTTACACAATTGGATAACACTACCATAAATGGTAATCAATCAACATTTAACTATATATAGATAGATTATATTTATCAAAAAAACTATATATATAAATTATGTAGAATATTATAATTATTTTTAAGTAGTTCCTTTGTTGGGATTTGGGATGAGAGCTAGACTAGCATTTCTAGAGAATTTTCTAGTTAAGTACTTTACCACTTTACCAAAAAAATGAAAAATTCTCTAATGTACTATTGGAAAACTTGTTCGATGTGACCTATATGTTTGCAAAATGTACGGATTACATAAGTGTAAACACATTTAATTTCACACTCCTAAAGTAATCACTTTTGCTAAACATGGAGAGGCTCAATTCTACTTTCATGATAACTTAATGGAAGCCGTAATGCGCTTCAACTATTTTCACCATTTAAAAAACGTCGATGCAATTGGAACATTCAGTCGCACCAAAGTGTAGTACTCAACTTCATTTTAATATCTAAAATAAGACTTACTCAAACAATATCTTTTTGAGAATATTAAGATCATTCTAGCCGATAATCATGATTGTCAACAAACACTGCCGCTTGCCAGACATAATTAATTCATAAGCAAAACTGGTTCAATTGCATAGTTGTAACATTTAGATTTAGATGATGTATGCGGAGCAAGTTTAAAACTAATCGGATTTGATTAACTTTGTCAATGAATGTAGATAAGGTTTATTTCAGAGAGTTCTCATGAGAAAACTTAATTACATATATAGAAGCGATTTAGTATACATACAAATCAGAAGTGGCGGAGCTACGTTGGTGGAAGTGGGGTCAACTGACCCCAATAACTTTTATATTTTGAAAGATTTGTTATTAAAAATTAAAGAAAAATTAGAGAAAATGGTTAAAATTTCTTGAGTTGACCCTATTTACATAGCTTCAATTCTCTTTTCTTCTATTCATACAATATAATGACCCCCATTAGAAACTTATTCTAGATCCGCCACTGCAAATCAGTAGGGCAAAAAAAAACGAAAACTCCATAAATAATATATAGAATCTTTTTGGAACTAGCTGATTAGTTGTCTCCCAAAAAGTAAGGCCCGCATGATGTGGAGGCTTGCGAGCGAGGCGGCTAGACTGTTATATTGGAATTACAGTAGAGTGCAGAGAGATGTGGTGTACTCACAGTCTCACACTATCAGAATTATTTGTTCTAAGTTCCAGAAACACGAGACAATCGATTAAAAAAACCATGTTCGGAAAAGACTTAGATTATAAAGAAAAACAACTTGGAAAAGAATATTTCTAGAAAGACTAGAAAACATTATCACATTGGCTTTTAGATCCTATTGTATCATTCAATGTATTATTGACAGATAACAATTGACCTACGTAAACATAAATTAGTATTATCGATTATATAGAAAGATCTCCAAATCTGTATTTGAGTAAAGTATTCTTGCATTCAACGTTTTCTCTTTTGAAAGCTTTACGTCATTAACAACGTCATCCACTCATCCTATATGTCTTGATTATTATCCCACGTGGTACCGATATATAACCTTATATAATTGTAGCAAAACAAACAAATTTGTTTACTTTTCTTTGCGTCTCAATTCATTTATCCAAAGCGTTGACTAAATTTGTGAAGAAAATTAAAAGCATGCATAGCCTAAGCTCTTGGTATGTCGACGGAACCCGTTATTGGGTGACTTGATCGTATCCCCTTTTAAGGGATTTTGTTTTTTTAATGGGATTTCGTTTACTCTTTCTAAGATTCATGTGTTTATACAATATTATAATCACTGATTTCTAGAAACTTTCATTACCCTGCAATTAATTAGTATAAAGTATAAACTCTCTAATTCTACAGCCAAAAAAAAAAAAAAACAGTTCTACATGTTTGACGTGCAACAATAAAAGGATAACTGACCTATTACGAGTGAATAAAAACATAAATTAAAATATGGTAACGTACGGTCTCATTATATCGTACGTATATATTCTGCATAAGTTTTTTAGTTTAAAAGAAAACCATTATTGAAAAAAAAAAAAAAGAAGCCTTAAAGAGGGGTTATCATTATATAGATGAAACAAGAAATACACACTGAATTGGTTGAAATGTTTCACCAGATATAATGAATTGGAAGACTTGAGGAGAATATAAAGTTCCATCGAAGGTTCAAATGAAAAGAAAACTGATCACATGATCTCTGTAAAAATATTTTTACCAAATCACATTTTAGTTCTTACTAGAGATAATTTTGGGAGTAAGATGTATAATTTATGGACCAATTATTGTGGACCCTAAAATTTAATTGTGGAGTGAAATCCATGAAGTTTAAACCCAAAAATATTTTAGAAAAAAGAATTAAAATATTTGCTTATCCATATTTATGTATTTCGATGACCAAAAAAAAATATTTATGTATTTCATTTTCTAATTTGGTTAAACATAAGCTAACCTCTATATATTGTATTGTTTCTCTTAAGATCAATAATAGATAAAGAAATAGTTTTCTCAAATCATTTACTAATTTATAAGTTGTCTATTTTTCTTAGCAACACCAAATATTTTTCTTAGCATCACCAAATAGATGTCAATTTCCCATCTCTTTATATATAAAAAAGTATAATTTTATTTCTATAAAATAACAATCATCTCATACACATTAATCCCAATCATGTTAGTTCGGAAGTTGACAAGTGTCATCTATTAAGCAAAATTGGTTAATTAGTATCTTAAGAGATTAGTATATTTAGTCTTAGTCTTTGTCGACACTTAGTCATTAAAATAGTTAAAACTATTACAACCAAAGATTGCTTCAAACTCAAAGTAATGCATAGTTTACATGTCGATACAAAAACAATTTGTCCTTCTATCCCAAAAAATAAAAATTAAATCAATACTTATTCACACGTTTCATTAAAAAACAAAGATGTTGCTTTCATCGTCTCTAGCCGATTTCTAGATTCTCCTCCACCACCATTTTACCCTTCTTTTAAATTCCTTCCTTCAATCAAAATTATAATTATTTCTCACAAACCTCTTCTTTATATCTAAAACGTCTCACATGAGCAAAAAGAATAAACTGAAACAAAGAAGATGAACAAGAACAAGATGGATGTTAAGATCGAGACGAAGAAAGGGTCGATGGATGAGTGGCCTGAGCCAATCGTCCGAGTCCAGTCCTTAGCCGAGAGCAACCTCTCCTCTCTCCCCGACCGCTACATCAAACCAGCGTCTCTACGCCCCACCACGACCGAAGACGCTCCTGCCGCGGCCAACATCCCAATCATAGACCTTGAAGGACTCTTCTCGGAAGAAGGGTTGTCTGATGACGTCATCATGGCTCGGATATCGGATGCTTGCCGTGGGTGGGGGTTCTTCCAGGTGGTGAACCACGGGGTCAAACCGGAGCTGATGGACGCGGCTAGAGAGAATTGGAGAGAGTTTTTCCATTTGCCGGTTAATGCAAAAGAGACTTACTCGAACTCACCAAGAACCTACGAAGGCTATGGAAGTAGACTAGGTGTTGAGAAAGGAGCAAGTCTCGATTGGAGTGATTATTACTTTCTTCATCTTCTTCCTCATCATTTGAAAGACTTCAACAAGTGGCCTTCTTTTCCTCCCACCATAAGGTTCCTTCCTCTACCATCTCTTTTTTTTTTTTTAACGTTCTTTAATTAATTTTCATGAGTACTTTATTTTGAGTGTGAATTAAGATCCATTTATTTTTACCAGAAAATAATATATAGGAGTAGTTTTTTTATTCTTTAAAATGTACGGACAAATCTTTGGAATATAAGTATAACATTTGATACTTATATTAAGTTCTTGGGGAATGTGAGAATACTGATTTTTGCTTTTGACGAGGAGAATTATGTGATTTTTAACGTTGGGATAAAGTACAATATTGGGAAATTAATAAATTATTAATTAAATTTATATTTATCTATATCTAAAAAAATAGAGAAGTGATCGATGAATACGGCGAAGAGCTAGTGAAGCTGAGTGGGAGAATCATGAGGGTATTATCGACAAATTTGGGACTAAAAGAGGATAAGTTTCAAGAAGCATTTGGAGGTGAAAACATAGGGGCCTGTTTAAGGGTTAATTATTACCCAAAATGCCCTCGACCGGAACTGGCTCTTGGTCTCTCTCCACACTCTGATCCTGGCGGTATGACCATTCTCTTACCGGACGATCAAGTCTTCGGTCTCCAGGTTCGTAAAGATGACACGTGGATCACCGTCAAGCCTCATCCCCATGCTTTCATCGTCAATATTGGTGATCAAATACAGGTATAGCTTAACTTTTTATTATTTTTCTTTTCCATGTTGCTAATAATCTCTAAATATATTATTAAATAACCTTAAAAATAATATGTAAACAAACATAGCACTCCATTAGAAAGAAACGATAAGAAACATATAAACAAAGTAAATCTATTAATAACCAAACGAATTATTCCAATGTATAAAAAAAATTCCAATGGCTTTTGCAACTAAAGAAATAATACTAATGTACTAGATTTATCACATATATTATCAGTGATTGAGTTTTAATCTAAAGACTGTAATATTTTATTTTTTTGGACAAAAACTGTAATGATTTTTTTAAACATATATTTGTTTACAAAAAAAATTAAATTCCCTATTATCTTGTATCAGAAAAAATCGTCTATTAAGAAAAGGACATATGCGAAAGTTGTTATTTGACAACCAATGAATATGATATATAGCTATAGTCCACGTTTTAGACACGTTTTTAAAATGCAAGTATGATAAATAGCTACCACCACTTGGTGCCAAAATGCCTTTTTGATTTTTCAACGAAAATAATGTAAATTATTAACTCATTATTCCGACAATAGAAATTACGTCCTTTTAGATCTATCCTGTCAAACCGGTTTTTTATGGACAACTTTATATATATATCAAACAACAAAATATTATAGGATATATAGTAGTATTAGTAATTTGGAATTATCGTTTTATTTATTAATTGTGGCTGTCTCTATTTGTATTACGAAACAAATAGTACAGCAAATCCTTCATTGCGCACATGTGTGTGTTTGGCCGTTTGCCCATGTTGCTTAGAAGGGATATTTATATGTACAATGTATTACACGATTTTTTTAACAAACACCACATGTACATGCACATGAAATTTCTCAAAACAACATAAATGTAGACAATATTAATGTTTTCCAAATTTTTGTACTTTTAGAAAATAAATTTTGTGTTTTGTTTCGTCTATATTTTTCCTTAGAATCACACAACTACGTGTTGATAAGATAATTAATATATGTTGCGATGATAAAATTGCAGATACTAAGCAACTCAACATACAAGAGTGTGGAGCATAGAGTGATAGTGAACTCGAACAAAGAGAGAGTTTCACTTGCCTTCTTCTACAACCCTAAAAGCGATATTCCGATCCAACCGTTACAAGAACTTGTATCAACTCATAATCCTCCTTTATATCCTCCCATGACCTTTGATCAGTATAGACTCTTTATCAGAACTCAAGGTCCACAAGGCAAATCCCATGTTGAATCTCATATTTCTCCTCGTTGATTGTTTTTTTTCTTCTTCTTCTTCCCGTAAAGAAAAATTAATGTTTTGTTATTTTCATTATATTACGTCTGACTTGTATATGTGTACAATCATTTATATTTTGAATTTTCAAAGGATTATTTATCTTCGTGCAAATAACTATATTGAATTACAGAGACAATTTTTTTTTTTTTTTGCAATCGTTTTTAAATGTCACATATCTACTACTAGCAGTTTGCAAGCAATTTTCAAATAGAGTTTAACGTCTATCAATATTATTTGAACACATTAATTGTTTATTTCCTAATGTGTCGCCATGTTTGAAAAACGTGGTAAAGTTGATAGTGATCATGGTATAAAACTATAATAGAAATGTATAATTGTTGAACTCTAAACGTCACATGATATTATGAAATATGGAATATCATTGAACGGTGCTTAATACTAATTCAACTATAAAGATTAGTGTGACAACATAAATATCTTTAGAATTTTACAAATTGGTCTTTAGAATTCGAATGGCGGTATTGGACGTGAGTCACGTGAAGAACTAACCCCTTGTGGACTATTGTTCTACGTATTGGATAGACAACAATCCACTACAATATCTTTATAGAGTCTTGTGATTGATTTCGACCTAACAGATTGTTGGAATTGATATTTATCGTGTTATTAGAACCCCGACCTCGATCCTGAAAAGGTATATGAAAGCAAACAAAAAATTAAACAAAAACACACACAATATGAATCTATTAATAATAATAAAAGTTGCTCGACAACGATGGAAAGAAAATTAAAACACGAGCTAAACCCTAAACAAACGAACATCAACCTAAAATATATGAATATTAATAATTATAAACATCTTAAAACCTTTTCTTAAGAAAAAAATCCGAGACTCCTCCGCCTCCTAACGCCTGTGGCTGTGGATAATATTATAAGACCAAGCCACGTCTGATCTATTGTGTGCCTCTCATTCCCATATTTGTTTTCTTTGGATTAATCATTAGATACAATATGTCAAACGTTTGCACTTATATATATACACTATTATTACATTTACATTTATAATATAAGAATATGATTATATACACTATTAAATTACTATAAATAGCATGTGCGCTTTCAAGTGGTGGTTTGGCCATAAGTGTCGAGTTGGTCAGTAGTGATAATAACATTAATATTATTTAGAAAAACTAATACAAAATATATAGTATAACAAATGCAAGTTGCATTTTTATTCACACTATCGACGGTTACGTCTTCTTAATGAATTGAATCATTTCAAATTTATATTCTTTTTAGTAATGAATCTAAAGTGCGTAATATTTGTATGAAATTCAAATCACAAATATAACGAATTTCATCCCCTCATTCTCAAGTCAGTTTTAGGGATAGAGATTGAAGGAGATATGGGTAAATTGTAAATACTTAGGCCAGCCACCTCAAACAAGTCAAGGGCTTCCAACTTGCAATGAGTCATAAAGTTTGCAAAACGTAAATGGTTAATTCATATCTAAAAAATGTTAAGAAGTTATATGATCAAATCAACTGTATTAATTTCTAGAGATGTGTTAGAGCAAGTTTTTGACGTTAGAAGAAGTACTAGATGCTATAAGAAAATGGTATAGATTAATAATTCTATGTCAAGTGTGTAAATTTAAGATTTATATCGATATAATCAGAAAATGAGGCTATTTTTTTTTTCCATTATTTTGGGTTTGTGCCCATAACAGAACACCACTAATACTATAACCGCTTACAAAATTTCAGTACAATCTTTTAGCTAAAATTACCATATGAGAGATTATGAAGATCAACCTTACATAAGAATTCTTTTATATAGCCGAAGAGTTAATTATTACACATAAACTAATGAAAGTAGAGTCGCTACATATACAAACACATGGCATATTTGATCAAAAGATGACGAAGCTCTCTAACCAGCTGGTGGTGTCTTTATGACTCTCTCCATGTCTCACTACTAATTCAAACGCTCTTTTTTGAGAATCTAACACCAATAATAGTTTTGTGTCCATAAATAAACAAAAGGATGTTTTGCAATAACTTAAAAAGAGAAAAGGAAAAAGGATGGAAAAGGAGAAAGATGACTCACTCATTCACTCACTGTCTTCCTTTCTTAGTGCAGCAAGAAGGGCATTTGTATTGCTTGATGCTCTCTGCTTTGGCTGGTGTTATCTTCACACACTTCCCATGGTACCAACGTTCACACACATCACAACATATCCAGAACTCGTCGTTTGTGTAGTTTCCTCCACAACTTCCACAGAGGGTGTCTCCATGCTCATCGTCTTCATCTTCGTAGCTCTCTTCCATTAGTTTCGGCGTGCTCTTTGTCTGCCCTTCAATTGATCTCTGCAACAATTCAATACCAACCAAAACACAATTATTCATTAAAATGAAAGAAGTTTGTTTTGGGATGGTAAAGAGTAGTAGAGAGTTCATCATGATACCTTAACGCCATTTCTGGATTTGCTTCCGAGATCCATGCTTGGTTTATTATCTTTGATGGGCTTCCTACCCGTCACTACTTCAAAGAGAGTTGGGAGATCGTTGATCAGACTAAATAGGCGTTTCCTGTTCATTGAACAGAACATACAATATAAGTACCTAGACTCAGCAGCATGAAACTCAGAACATTATCAAATGAGTTCATATACCCCGCCCGCATATGTAAACTTACGCGCTTCATTACCAGCATAAACAGAAACTCTTATAGAATCGTAGAGCAAACAATGCTTTAAGGATAACTGGAGAAGTAACATAGTGAATACCAATATATCAGCTCAGAGAGAACATACATGTGTAGACCAAATTTAACAAAAGAATGTAGTAGACATTTATATATCCAAATGATGCAGAAGTTCACGAGAGAGAAGGATTAGTGAAAAATGGTATGCAATGAAAGAAACTTAACCTAAGAAGGAAAGAAGCTTATTGACATGTAGAGCTACAGTGAAAGAAAGAATCAGGAAACAAAAAACAAATGGTGATGACACAAGCTCATGATACTGTCCAAAGACAGCTTTTTTTCTCATCATTAACACCACGTTCTAACTAGCACAGTAAAACTATCTTCCACATTTTATAAAAGCCACTGAAACAAGCAAGGAAACAAAACGCAAACGTACCTCTCATTGCGATTAAGGCGAGCGCCGAAGTAAGAAGAAACAGAGAGTAACCAACAATCACTGTGGACAGCAACTAAAGAGAGCCAATCTTTACGCTGCATACCATCTCTAGCGAAATTGATTCCAAGAGCTGGCTCAGGTAGCTCCGGAGGCACTTCCTCAGCTGGAAGATTCACTTCCCATGTCCCATTCGGGTGTCCGTACAAACACAGATTCTCCATTTCTAAGACCCAATAAACCAAAAAGGAACAAAAATTCTCAAAAAGGGTATCTCTTTCTGAAGCTTATACATGGAAAAAACAAACACAGATCCGAAAAATAACGATGGAAAGAGCTCACATACCCGGATCGCATAAAGAGTAGAACTTGTCAACATCTAGTAAAACAGGCAAGAACAACAAAATGTAAAATTAGAAAGCTTAAACATTTATGAGAAATTAGGAAAAATGAGGAGGTAGCGTCGTGGTCTACCTACGGAGAGAGCTCGAAGAAAACCGGAGCGACGACCGCTAAAATCCTTGAAGATCTCTTCGACGGTGCGAGGGTTAGAAGACTCAGCGGCCATCGATGTAGTAAGGGAAGAAGCAAAATAAAAAGTTACGAGTATTGTTAGAGAAGACCAAGTAGATAGATCAGTGGTGTTAGAGATGGATTGAGGTCTGCATCAATGGTTTCCAAAATCCGATGCGCACGGACAAGAGAGATAGAGAGAGACAAGACAAGAGTTGAAGTCCTTAAAGAGTAGTAAAGTAACTTTTGTTTTTGGTCTCTATTTTAAATGGGCCTGGCCCATGGCCCATCGAATTGCGTTCTATAGAAACGACGAGTTTTACGTTTTCTCTCTGAATCTCTCTGTAAATGACTAAATGAGTAAAGAAAGAAGCTGAGAGTGTGGCTTTAATGAGTATAGTTTGATCGTCCGCTTCAGCAGTAGTCTCGAAACACTTAGATAGGGTTTTACAGAGGAAGAAGATGCCGAGAGAGATAATTACGCTGCAGGTTGGACAATGCGGGAACCAGATCGGTATGGAGTTCTGGAAACAGCTTTGCCTCGAGCACGGCATCAGCAAAGATGGTATTCTCGAGGACTTCGCTACTCAGGTCTTTATTCGAAATCCTTTCTATTTGATTGATTAATTGAATTCCATGGTTGCTTGTTGGTCATAGAATTGTGTATTGATATTCAAGTTATTGAATTGTAGGGAGGTGATAGAAAAGATGTGTTTTTTTACCAAGCTGATGACCAACACTATATACCTAGAGCTCTACTTATTGATTTGGAGCCTAGAGTTATCAATGGCATTCAGAATGGTGAATACCGGAATCTTTATAATCATGAGAATATCTTCCTTTCCGATCATGGCGGTGGTGCTGGTAATAACTGGGCCAGTGGATATCACCAAGGGAAAGGTGTTGAAGAGGAAATCATGGACATGATTGATCGAGAAGCTGATGGAAGTGACAGTCTTGAGGGTTTTGTTCTTTGCCACTCTATTGCTGGAGGCACTGGCTCAGGTTTTCAATCTTTTTTGCCAATCCCTTATCTTTATTTAGCTTATGTTTATTCACTGAATGACTTTTGTTTTTGTTGTTTCACATGAAGGTATGGGGTCTTATTTATTGGAGACTTTGAATGATCGTTATAGCAAGAAGTTGGTTCAGACATACAGTGTATTCCCCAATCAGATGGAAACGAGTGACGTTGTTGTCCAGCCATACAACTCACTGTTGACGCTGAAGCGGCTTACGTTAAATGCTGATTGTGTTGTTGTTCTGGACAACACTGCATTGAATAGAATTGCTGTGGAGCGTCTACATCTGACTAATCCTACTTTTGCTCAGACGAATTCTTTGGTGTCAACTGTGATGTCTGCTAGCACAACAACATTGCGTTATCCAGGATACATGAATAATGACTTGGTTGGCTTGCTTGCATCTTTGATCCCAACACCAAGGTGTCACTTCCTCATGACTGGATATACACCATTGACTGTTGAGCGTCAGGTTAGATATCTCAATGAGTTTAATGACTAATACCTTCAAATTATAATATATTTTTTTAGAAGCTGCTGTTGTATCTTGAACATGACTTTTGAATGTTATTGTTCTTGGCAGGCAAATGTTATTCGCAAAACTACTGTGCTGGATGTTATGAGGAGACTTCTACAGGTGAGCTGTTTGCTCTCTCCTATCTTTTTTCGAAACTTGAATCAGATGTCCTAACATAATTGTGTTCGCAGACAAAGAATATCATGGTTTCGTCTTATGCTAGAAACAAAGAAGCTAGTCAGGCAAAGTACATATCAATATTGAATATAATTCAAGGAGAAGTCGATCCCACTCAGGTACTTTCATGTAGCGGTTTTTTGTTCGACATATTGAGGATGAATTGGTTAATTCTTTCTTGCTGATGTGATCTGCTCTGTTGTCTCACTACTTGATATTAGGTGCATGAGAGTTTGCAGAGGATACGAGAAAGAAAGCTTGTTAATTTCATTGACTGGGGACCTGCAAGCATACAGGTTCTAACCGAATTGTGTCTGCAAATTAGTTATTGCTTTTGGCTTGACCATGGACTTGCATCACAATTTTTTTCCATATCTTACTCTCAACAGGTTGCTCTTTCCAAGAAGTCGCCGTATGTTCAAACTGCTCATCGGGTAATCTTTTATCACTCTAAATATGTATACATATGTCTGTCATGCTGAGATTTGGTACTCCTTACAATTAATGTCTAAGGCTGCTGGTTCATGCTTTAGAAGATACAACGAAGACTCTTAACTTTGGTGGTGTATTGATATATCAGGTCAGTGGTCTTATGTTAGCAAGCCACACTAGTATCAGGCACCTTTTCAGCAGATGTTTGAGCCAATATGACAAATTGAGGAAGAAGCAAGCTTTTCTTGACAATTACCGAAAGTTTCCCATGTTTGCTGTAAGTTGACTAGTCAAATATATTGCCTTTGTTTGGCTAGTGCAACCCACCCTTTCATCAGCTTTGACAGTTAAATGTTGAAATCATGAGAACCTTCATGTTGATGGACAGGACAATGATCTTTCAGAGTTTGATGAATCAAGGGACATAATTGAGAGTTTGGTCGATGAATATAAGGCCTGTGAGTCTCCAGATTACATCAAATGGGGAATGGAGGTATATAAGCTTTTGCCATCTATAGTGACTCACACTTTTGGAGGAACTCTTAATGATTATTGTACATCTGTCTCTCTCAGGACCCTGGACAGCTTATGACTGGCGAAGGCAATGCTTCAGGAGTTGTGGATCCTAAGTTAGCATTCTAAACAAAAGATAAAAACGCAAGAGTAAGTCATATGATGTTTCACTTTTAACTGAGATTTTTCAGGTCATGATAGGTTTCCTTTGGTAGGATCAGTAGTAGTAACGATAAAGAGTATTGGCATTGTAAACCTTGAATAATATTATGATGTGGATGAGTTTCAATCTATGAGATGAATGTGATTTTTAGGTTTTTTCTAAGATTAAGAGCACATGAAAGGTGCATCTCCTCAGGAGCAGGTATCTAGGAATTTTGAATTGTATCAACACATATTCTTTGAATCTTATGCATATTGAATTTACACCAACTAAAGAGTCGTGGACCCCTGGTTAAAGTCGTTGTAGCTGCGAGAAAACAGGTTGTTCTAATAGTGTGATATAGCAGCAACAAAAACAACCTCGTTTTAAACCTTGAGATGCATGCTTAGGTATCTAAAATATACGACTTGTTTATTAGGTGAGTGCTAAAATATAAAAGATTTTCTTGGGTCGGCAATACAAGATTTTATTCATTGGTGGATTTATCTAATAGAGTTGTTTATTAAAAATTAATAAAAAAAAAGAAGGGTTTATCGTTATCTAACATCTGTTACAGTATGAATTTATTTTCCTACATAAGTTAGGAGAACATGTCTTTGTCAATAAAGAAGCCTTGTTTCCTTTTTCTTTCTCTCTATTTGAATATAAAATAAACTTGTTAAACCTTGGAACAACAACTGCGATTGTTTCTTCTGGGTTTTGTTCGATTTCCAGGAACTCAAAGTTTCCAACTATTCCATGTTTCTTGTCTCTGCTAGCTCTGTTCCACGTACGTCGAAGCAAATTCCCTAGCACTTTCTCAATTATTTTAAGTTCCAATTCTTGATGACTGAGCTTAGCTCTTCCAATCTTGACTCCGCCACTCAGAAGCCAAGAATTTCTACCGAAAACCCAGCACCTCCTCCTCACATAGGCATAGATGTCCCCACCACCGGTGACGCTGCTCTGTCTCCGGCGAGAACCGTCAACCAATTCAAGAAAATTGCGGCACTGCCACTAGTTTTCCTGATATTCTACGAGGTCTCAGGCGGTCCGTTTGGGATTGAGGATAGTGTGAAAGCAGCAGGACCATTGTTAGCCATTGTTGGATTCATCGTCTTCCCGTTCATATGGAGTATCCCTGAAGCACTTATCACCGCTGAGATGGGAACAATGTTCCCTGAGAACGGTGGTTACGTTGTGTGGGTCTCTTCAGCCTTGGGACCTTATTGGGGTTTTCAACAAGGTTGGGTTAAATGGCTAAGCGGCGTTATAGACAACGCTCTTTATCCGATTCTTTTCCTCGACTATCTGAAATCCGGAATCCCGATTCTCGGTAGTGGAATCCCTCGAGTCGCTGCGATTTTGGTGTTGACTGTAGCCTTGACTTACTTGTACTACAGGGGTTTAAGCATTGTCGGTGTAGCAGCTGTTCTTCTCGGCGTTTTCTCGATCCTTCCGTTTGTGGTGATGTCTTTCATGTCGATTCCAAAGCTTAAGCCTTCGAGATGGCTTGTGGTTAGCAAGAAGATGAAAGGTGTTGACTGGAGCTTGTATCTCAACACACTTTTCTGGAATCTCAACTATTGGGATTCGATTAGTACTCTTTCGGGCGAAGTGGAAAACCCGACTAAAACGTTACCAAGGGCTCTGTTTTATGCTCTGGTTCTTGTTGTGCTATCTTACATTTTTCCGGTTTTGACCGGGACAGGAGCTATAGCTCTTGATCAGAAGCTATGGACTGACGGGTATTTCACTGATATCGGTAAAGTTATAGGAGGAGCATGGTTGGGATGGTGGATTCAAGCTGCAGCTGCGACATCGAACATGGGAATGTTTTTGGCTGAAATGAGCAGTGATTCTTTTCAACTTCTTGGAATGGCTGAACGCGGGATGCTTCCCGAGGTCTTTGCCAAGAGATCGCGCTACGGAACTCCATGGGTGGGGATACTGTTCTCGGCCTCTGGTGTGATTCTCTTGTCATGGTTAAGCTTTCAAGAGATTGTGGCTGCAGAGAATCTGCTATACTGTTTTGGAATGGTTTTGGAATTTATTACGTTTGTGAGGTTAAGGATGAAATATCCCGCTGCTTCAAGGCCGTTCAAGATACCGGTAGGGGTTTTGGGATCGATCCTCATGTGCATTCCACCAACAGTGTTGATCGGTGTCATCATGGCGTTTACTAACCTGAAAGTTGCAGCGGTGAGCCTTGCAGCAATAGTGATTGGGCTTGTGTTGCAACCTTGTCTCAAGCAAGTGGAGAAAAAGGGATGGCTCAAGTTCTCAACCAGCTCTCACCTACCAAACCTGATGGAGTAAGGCCAAAGATGCTTATGGTTTCTTACCTTTGATCTTACAAGTAATGATCATTGCTGTAGAAGAACAAGATCTGGATTTTTGATCAAAGCGTAAAGCTTATTTAACGTTATTAGATGAAGACATTTCTTTTCAATGCACCGAAAATGTATTAAGTTTTTTTTTCTTCAGCTTTTTGGATTTCTTTGCTTTTGCATTATACACAAATTTACACCGCATGAGACATTTTTGATCATAGAAAAAGGACATAAAATGACTTAATTATATATTGCATCTTACACAACGGTTTTAGTCGATTCATTGACAAGTAGGGATAGTCTAGTGAAGTCATCAACACATTCTTAGAGCTGTTGTCATTGCATTGGTGAGAGGTAACATAAGGAAAGATCAATTGGAGAGAAGTAGTGATACTGGTAAAGCAACTATCAAAAGAGTTGCTGCAAGAATGTGTTGATGACTTCACTAGACTATCCCTAGTCTTCCGTTGAAGTCAGAAATCTCCAGGAATCTTTTTCTTGGCTTGATTCTGAGATTTTTGGAATTTGAAAGTTTAATCCTTCCTACAGTTATTGTAATGTTCAAAGATTACTGTGATTTTGGATATTTTTTCTATCAGTTCATAGTTTGTGGTTTTGAGTTGTGGTGTTTCCTCTTTTTGAAATTTTCTGTCCAGAATTTGCTGATTCCGTAAGAGAAAATATGTTGATTTCGGTTCGGTTTACATGGTTTTGAAATTATAATTGATTTATGTTCGGTTTAAATTGGTTTTGAGAAGAAAACAAAAAACATTAATAAGTCACGCGATGGAAATTTTGGAGAGAAGTGCGTTGATTGAAAAAGGCATGATTCCTAAAGGGGTACACCCACAGAATTTGCCACACTCGCGCAACGCGCACTTTGTGCGAGTGGGTCTGAAATAGAGCCTTCTGATTGGCTGAAAAACTCTAAAAAAAGTGAAATAGTATACATGTTGCTAGCTCCTCTTTTATGTTATTATAGATTTTTTCGTCTTCTTCACTCATTTTAAGGCAAAAACACGAAGAGCTCACCACTACATTCATGCTTTCAGATTTCGACTGGTGAGTGTTACAAACTGTATAAACCTTAATTATTGCTTATCGTCTTTGCTCTTATAGAATCTATACTTCTGGATGTGGATTTTTTTTATAATGTGGAACCATGGAAGTATAAATTTTCAGGAATCTTCTTGGTTTGATTCTGAGTTTTTGGAATGTGAAATTTTAATCCTTTCCTACACTTCTTGTAAATAGAATGTTCAAAGATTACTGTGATTTGGATCCTTTTCTACAGTCTTTTAGTTTATGAGTGGAATGAACAAATTGAGAGTGAAACTGAGACTAGTCGTCCTCTGATTCTTTCAGATAAAGACCAACAACATATACCACAAGGCAAAGATTCTTCTGTGCATGAAAAGGTTTGGTTTTTTCTTCATTTTGATGTCTCTTAACTCTTTGGTGGAATTCAAACAGTGTAGAATGGTTGTCTAAATGGACCTAAGGAAGGAGTTGGCTTCTTAAACTGATACTTTACTTGTCCAATAGCCTTTTCTGTGACACATTTCGTTTTAGTGACTTGCTTAGTTTCTTTAGATGTTGAACCACAGTCCCATTCATTTGACCATATCCCAATCTTGACTCCTCCAAGTGATGCTTTCGCACAAAGAAAAAGCATATCAACCGTAGTTATCTGAAATTCCACACACTTGGTTAACTTTACTAAACCATTTGATTGCCAAAGTATATGCTTCAAAGTATTGATCTAATGATGATATTCATTTGTGGCAGAAAGTTCAGAATCTTAATGAGCTGGTCCGAGATCTGAGGAGGCAGTTGTTGCGATGCAGAAATGAAAATCAGGTTGAGTTGACGGAGCTAGATACTGAGCTTGATCAGCTGCCGATAACAGGTGTTTAGCTCCATTTTAGAGGTATAGCTCCTCCTCTCCTATATTGTTAATTGATAAAGGTTTATACTTGCTTCATTTTTTTCAGTCACGGGAAGTTCGAATTTGGTTTCTGATGGGATCTAAACAAGTATAAAAGTCTAGAAATGCTGGATTTAGCAAGTTAAAGACTGCTGAGTCCCCTGTATCTTCAACAACCTCGTCTTCAAAACTTCAATCCAGAGACATCTGTGGATAGCCATAGCTCCCCTACATCTTCATCCTGCTCGAAGCAAGCCTCGTTTACAATATACTGCAGGAAAGGTACCACCTAAGCCTTTCAAGGTACTTGTTTCAGTATTTGATCCTCTTATTTACTTTCTGTTGGTGACATGCATAGTGCTGATTTCACTGTCTCTAATAATCAATCAATAGCTTATGCCTATGGTTAGTCTTAAGTCTTAACAGTTTAACTAGTATTCATTGCCTAGGATTGAAGTTTCCTGCATCATGAATGAAGACCTAAATTAAAGTAGATGTCAAAGTCCAATCTGCCATATTGTTTCTTGAAATTTATGTTGTCCTTTCTTGCAGATCATGTTTTCGGGCCTACGACGACTACACGCCATGTCTATGATGTTGCTGCTCAGCATGTTGTTAATGGTGCTATGACGGGGATCAATGGTATGGACTAAACACTTGTTATTAGCCTATCTAAGATATTTATATTATTAAATCTTACCCCAAGCTTACTGCTTACAGTACCATGAACAGTTTGCATGAGCATTCATTTAGATAAGGAGATCTTTGAGTTGCCAAACTGTATCTAATGCTTCTTCTAGTCTTTAGAACACCTTGAGTTAGATTTCTTTTACCAGTATGATTTTAATGAAGTGAGTGTTAATCCAACCACAAGGACCATTTTCGCATACGGAGTGACATGCAGTGGAAAAAATCACACTATGCATGTAAGATTTCACTAATCATGATATTTCTTGCTTTTCATTAATTATATAAAACGTATTAGGTTACTACCTTGTACAATGTACTTCAATGTGTCATCCCGGACATGCTTATCTGTCAGATAGTCATTTACCTCTTCCTTTGTTACTGGATAAATCACTGAGTAGTTCAGGAGCAAAGTTTATCTCCTCTAGCAGCTATAACGATTAAGCAATGGAACTCGATGTTTTGATCCTAAGGTGGTTTTTTTGTATTGGATATTTGGCTATTCTCCTTCTAGCTAGTGTTGTTCTGTTGACCTTCGAAATCCCTTTCTTGTATCGTAGTTAGCATATAGCTGCATTCTTTAGGTTACTTCTCTGCTTTACACACTTTGCAACCTAGTAGAACCTTTCTCTTATGAAACCCATGATCAATACACGGTCCCGCTCTAATGCCGGATGATTATACACACTTCATTTTAGAGACCATGTTTAGGTTTGGAGATGTGCATGAAATAAGAACAATTTTAACTCATGAAGACAGTTTTGTTTGGTTCAAATGTCAGGGGGACCAAAGATCTCCTGGTATAATACCATTAGCCGTGAAAGATGCTTTCAGCATTATACAAGAGGTACTACATCACACCATTTATTTTTCTCGTAGACACCAAGGCGAGAATTTCTCCTACGTGTTTCCTAGTTTGAAATTTATAATGAGGTGCTACTTACTACCTGCTTTTCTTCTCTCTATTCACTATATCCACTTCACCAGTGGTGCTGAATGATAGTCAGATTCTGCTTTTCATATTTTCTTAATATCCATAAGGTTCATTTTACTTGAGGTTATCAATGATTTATTGAACCCAACAGGACAAAATTTGAGGAACAGAGAAGATGAGCAGGTACTTGTTTCAGTATTTGATCCTCTTATTTACTTTCTATTGGTGAGATGCATAGTGCTTATTTCACTGTATCTATATCTATATATATATATATATATATATATATTGTTACTATAGTGCTTATCATAGAATCCTAAAACCTTGCACACCATATTTGTTTAATAAGAGGTGACATCTTTTCTCGTACTTACATTTTCTTATAAATGAAATTCTCCGGGACAATGTGAAAATGGCCTGATTATCAATATTTGAATGTTCTAGGTTACATTTCTTATTCTAGTATACTAGAATTGATCCTGTTGAGTATTGTATGGGCTAATAAATTGAGAATAAACTTGACTACTTGTATCGCTTTGAGAGTCTTGCCCTCTAAAATTCTGCAATGAATCTCTTATTATTGCCGATTGTAGGGAACTTTTATTGAAGGGATAAAAGAAGAAGTTATTGTATCCCCTGCTCATGCGCTTTCTCTTATAGAAGCTGGTTCCATGGAAGTTTTTTAAAGATTTCTTTGTCAGAAAGTGTTTTCCTCTTATGTGATATGACGAGATAGCAATTCTAAATAATATCATTCTCTTTCTTGATTCCAGTAGTTTCATTTCATTCTTAATCCTTCTCTTGAATCTACTACTTTCTTATGTTTGTCATGCAAGTCAAGTCATATTGATTAAATTCTCGTTTGATGACAGAGAATCGACATATTGGATCCACAAGTTTTAATTTGATCAGCAACAATGGATCCATATTGGTATGTTTATTTTAGCTCTTTCAAAGCATGGAGAGATTTATTTCATTTCGAGCTCCCTGCAGGGGCTTAGATTTAAACCAATGTTACCAAAAAATATTCTTAGGAATGGGTATAACTCCAGGGTAAAAAATTTCTGTCAGCTCCAGCGGTTCGGTTTACAATGGTTTTAAAATTAGAATTGATTTCGGTTTGGTTTATATTGGTTTAGAGAAGAAAACAAAAAAAATAAAAGAGTCACGCGATGGAAATTTTGGAGAGAAGTGCGTCGATTGAAAAAGGCATGATTCCTAAAGGTAAACCCCTTTAGGAATTGCTCTCACTCGCGCAACGCGCACTTTGTGCGAGTGGTTGCGAAATAGAGCCTTCTGATTGGCTTAAAAACTCTAAAAAAAGTGAAATAGTATACATGTTGCTAGCTCCTCTTTTATATATTTTGCTTCTTCTTCTCTGTTTTGAGGCAAAATCACGAAGAGCTCACCACTACATTCATGCTTTCAGATTTCGACTGGTGAGTCTAATCTGTATTAACCTTAATTATTGCTAATCGTTTGTTCTTATCGAATCTATTGTTCTGGATTTGGATTTTTTATAATTTGGAACCATGGAAGTAGAAATCTTCAGGAATCTTCTTGGCTTGATTCTGAGATTTTGGAATGTGAAAGTTTAATCCTTTCCTACAGTTCTTGTTAATAGAATGTTCAAAGATTACTGTGATTTGGATCGTTTTCTACAGTTTTTTAGTTTATGAGTGGAATGAACAAGTTGAGAGTGAAACTGAGACTAGTCGTCCTCTGATTACATCCCTTTGAGCATATCCCAATCTTGACTCCTCCAAGTGATGCTTTCGCAGAAAGAAAAAGCATATCAACCGTAGTTATCTGAAATTCCACACACTTGGTTAACTTTACTAAACCATTTGATAATATATGCTTCAAAGTATCATTTAAGGATGATATGAATGTCTATTTGTGGCAGAAAATTTTATCTCAAGAGAAGAAAATTCAGAATCTTAATGAGCTGGTCCGAGATCTGAGGAGGCAGTTGTTGCGATGCAGAAATGAAAATCAGGTTGAGTTGACGGAGCTAGATACTGAGCTTGATCAGCTGCTGGTAACAGGTGTTTAGCTCCATATTACAGGTACATTGTTTTCCCCTAGTACATCTTTCTGTGTAGTGATGCATGATTGAAAGCATTCATTGACTTAACAGTTACTTTTGATGAATACCTCGAAGCTCGAAAGAAGAAAATGGAAGAAGCTCTTAGCAGCTTTGATTTCAAAGAAGTTGCAGCTTCGCTTTCTGATCCCATCACACCAACATTGACTCAACACCAGTCTAGTGGGTTTTCACCACATGATTTGTTGGCTGAATTGTTTGAGAAAATTAAAACCTTACCCAAAGCTGAAGTCATCAACACATTCTTCAGAGCTATTGCCATTGCCTTGCTGAGAGGTACCATAAGGAAAGATAAATTGGAGAGAACTAGTGATACTGGTAAAGCAACTATCAAAAGAGTTGCTGCAACTCTTGGGATTGAAATCAGAGACAAGGGTCAAAAAACGCTTGTTCTAACTAACAAAACTTTGACTTTCTCAAGAATGATAGCTCTTTTCCCTCATTTGGCTAGCCAGCTAATTATCTCTAAGGAGAGCCTTTTTGTCAAAAAGTTTGCTTCTTTCATTAATGCCATTAGTTATCTGCTCAAACTCATAAGCATCCTATTGCTATGCTTCACTCTGGATTTGCTGGTCTGATTCCAAGAGAAAGTGATGATATATTAATCATAGACCTCATTTGCATTTGTCACTCTGCTTTTATGGCTGAGTTCTCTCTTTTGATCACTCCTCACGAGCAGAGAAGTTTTCATGCATTGTACGAGAATCAGAAAAGATATATCGAGGCTGCTCGGAAATCTGGATTGATTCCTGATGAAGATAGGATCGTTTACCTTTTGGCTTTTGGATTGTTGTCTTCTGATAGTCTTGATAAGATGTTGAAAGCTGCTGCAAGGGTTTCAACTTTGAGTGGAAGGCAAGAAGAAGCAAGTGTTACAAGAAGCAGCTTTACGATCGTTGAAGATCGGGTCAAGATTGTAAAAGATGATGCAATGTGGGATGAGCTATTGAAAAAAGCCAAGAGAATAGTTGATGCTTCAAGTTCAATGAGGTCTCAGGTTGCTGCTGTTGACTCCTTAGATGGAGTTTGATTTAATGATTTTGCTCCCTTTAGCTTCTTTCTTTTGTTTCGTTTCATCTGTTTTTAAGTTTAGACCTTTATTTTCAGTTCTAAAACTCATTTCTTTAACCAGATTAATGTTAATGTTCTTACACAATGGAGAGGGTGTCAAACTTATGTAGGAGTGTTATCCCATTCCATGGTCTTTGGTGGTTGTCACATTTTCCTCATTTTAGATCCTTTTTGAGGCCCTAGATCACACATTCTAAAACAGAAACAAATTCTAAAGGGATAGTTTTGTACAGATATATATATCATGAAAAAGAAAGAACAAGTACAACAGTTTTTCCAAGCAGTTTTGCTGTCTCGAAATATCAATGAAGCTAAAAGCAAGAGCACAAATCAATAAAACAAACATACTGATAATCTTTCTAATCTCCCCTATGAAATATATTTGGTGACTATCATCGACTAAACCAAAAAGAAAGACCAAATGTCTCGAAGCTAACTGTGTTGTCACTGCCCATTATCAGGCTAAAAAAGCTTGAGAAGGAAAAACTCTCAAAACCAGTTATATTCGCGGGTATCTTCTAGACTTTTGTCTTTGTTCTTCGACTTCATTCATCCAATCAGAAAGCCACAAGAGTCCCTTATAACCATAGTATGAAACAGCAGCTAGCATTGTCATTAACATCACGACCATCAGTATCCTCTTTGTGATGACAGCAAGTTTCTGCAGAGAAGAAACCAAAAAAACCAGATGGTGTCTTAAGTAGAAGACAAGACATATGAGACATGTGTCTTCTTGGATTTTTTTTTTTTTAAGACTTACCTGCAGCCTTGTGGTCTCCTGAATGTCCTGACCCCGTTCACGCCTTTTCCTTCGCTTTGATGCACTTTTCCCGCTAGGCTCCTCCTTCTCCTAAGATGTTTGATTAGAAAAAAGTTTTGTGATAGCTGCTTTAAGAGTGAGATTAATACTGAGAGCTTTTTTTTTGTTTCTGTTTACCTCAATCTCTTTGACATTGCGCTGTTTTAACACCGATTCAGTCATCTGTAGTTTGCTCTTACAGTTGGAATCGCAAGAGAGGAGGCCAACACCGAACTGGTTCTTTGGTACTTCTTTAGGGTCAGATCCTGTGGCCCTATGGGCTGCTTGAACATCTTGGCATACCCATTCCTTCTTCAAGGTTAGGCACTTGCAACGAACAACCACCTTGATCAATAAAACAATCGAGACAAGTAAGATCACACTTGTAACAGAGACAATATCCCAAATGGATAAACTAGCAGACAGATATCTTTACAACGCAGTTGCATATCTTGGAAATAATACCTTTTTCCCACACTTCTCTGGCAATGGACACTGTCCAGGATGACATATCTCCGGACACAAATGGGTACAGTTTGGCAATTTTCTGCAACAGCAAAATCCTCTAGTTTCAAAAGTGTGGTTTACTAATAATGTTATTCAGTAAAAAATAAATATAAAGCTTGGGAACAAGTGAGTTACCACAAGGGAACCATCAGTTGTTCAATTGAAAAATGAAACACAATAATATAGCACCAGCGTGTTAGTTACCTGTGACAAGGTCCACGGCATGAGCGCGCCTTCATTTGGTCCTTCTCCGACATTGTATTGTAGTATATGCACTCGAATGCATGCACCATCGCGCCACAGTGACATGATCTCTTTACTAGAGTTTTGCAAGGTGGACAATCTCCGGGATGGCATCTTCGAGGACATGGATGTTGGCATCGTGGTGTTCTCTCCTGTACATTAGTATGAAAGATAAGGAAGTCTGACTAACTGACTGACTCAGTAGAGAGATTTTAACAGCTTTATGGGGTTAAATATGTTTATTAGAAGCGATCGGAAACAATACAAATATAAGCTTCAAGTTATTGTGACAATTTGGACTCATAACTGCAATCAAGACCCACAGCATAAGGAAAAATGATCGAGTAAGTGGTGAGATACAAAAGATAACTGATACCTTTTGACAGCGGAGATCACACTTTTCACAGGACTCACTTCTTTTATCCAATGATGAACTTCTTATATCCAGGGCATGACAGATATACGAACAGTAATGGTTCCCACATGGAAGAGGGTTTCCACATAAATTATCGCATGCAAATTGAGTTCTGTCAGAGCAAACCATCTAAGCCAATGAAAAGAAAAAAACATATCAAATGTCGGAAGAAGATCTCAAAGTCCACAAATAGGAATTAACAAGTTAGATATTGGACATGCATCAGAAATAACTAATATAAAAGAGAATTGAGACTCACCATTCTCTCTGCTGCCAGGTGGTGGCCTACACAGGGCCTCCAGACAAGTTCTGGACAACGAGGGCAGGGAGAACCCGGTGTAGATTCAACCTGAATATTCAACATCTTTTTAGTTGGTTTAAGTATAAATTCACGGTTAGGAGGAGGTCTAGGTCCATGACACCTGTGTCATAAGAAGCACACAAAAACCAATGTGTATAAGAAGGGAAATGATCAGATAGAGTAGGAAAGAAAAATGGATGAAAAAGGCACCAGCATGAGAAACCTTAGTTTGCACTTGTGCCCACATGGGTATTCTTCATCACAAAGGAGTCGACATGGAGGACAAGCACCATAGTGGCATTTATGAGGCTGCATAAAAACATGACATAAATTTCGTAAAATTCAAAGATGGAATCAGTCACAAAAGTAAAATTATAAAAGCCTTATTCTAATTCTTGTTCACCTTTTGGTTTTGCCCATGCCTGCACAATGGGGTTACATGACATAACTTACGGCATCGAGGAGGTTTCTGATTTGTTTCAGTGCCACAGGGTACCTAAACAACATAAAACATCCAACTCGTTGTTAATACAGGTTTAACATACAGTACCAGATTTTCTATCAAATGATACAAAATATATTAGAAGTATCAAACATTTAAAAGCCTATGGACACAAGAAGAAGCAGAGAAAATATCTATAACAATAGGCATAAAGTCATCAGATATGGTTCTCAGGCTTAGACCAAACAAGGCCTCAAGATCATTTTTCCCGAAGAGATTTTAGTAAGTTTAAGCTTATAGTCTCGCTAGTTAGTTGTCAGTAACATCTCCTGCTTCCACCAGTTGCATCTAACCAAAATTAAGAATTTTCTGTAGATCCACCATAACAATTAAACTATAAAAGTAACAAGACTATATGTCACGACTTGATAGTAACTAGCCATATTCACGTTCAAATCCTGATTCTCACCTCAAAATGTGTCTCACCACAAGCACATGATATTGTTACCATTATTGGACAAGGAGCACATGGACCTCTGCAATGAACACACAACAAGTAATGTCATTCTACGTGTATGAGTTGATATCTTGCGATACACAATGTTTATCAGTCATATCGTCCCAAATCTAAAACTAGACGGAAAAAAGAAAGTCCAAAGCAAGCTACTACAAAACATACTGGTGACAAGGAGATTGGCATTTATGGTTCCTGCAACGGAGCTTTTTTCCACAAATCTGAAAAATTCAAACCATAAGATTAGAAGCCAAGTGTGAACAATGGCACTATACTTGACACAAGAATGAATGACACAGCATACCTCTGAGCATGGTGGACATTCACCATCACAACACCGGCGTCTACAAGCATGACGTGCACAATCTCTCACTCTCTGGCATTTCCTCTCACACGCCAACTCTTGATGGCAAGGAACCTACTCTAAATTAAGTTCCCAAAATCTTTCCATTAACATATGATTTGACTATAAAGCATCATGAAGTATCAAAAAGGCTCTCTTTCACCTGTTTTTTCGTTCCTCCGCATCTGCAAGACTTAGTAACCACAATCCTGCAAGTCTCAAGGCATGGACCGCGGTGACACCTCTCTGGACATCTATGGTAGCCACAACCAAGAACTTTATCACAGGTGCCACCACATAAAGGCGCCACAACATCACAAGACAAGCCTTGGTAGAATCTCTTGCCACAGGGACAACTCCTTTTCCCCTGATATGGACACAATCCACATTCTCCCGAGTGACATCCTCTCTCGCATACATGTTTGCCACAATTAAGCATATTCTCACAAGAAGCCTCACATCTAAAGACTCTCTCACAGCAATCCTTCTCCTCCTTCATCTTACCACAACAGCACTTGTAAACCGCGCGCTCCCTGCACGGTGGACACTCGCCATCATGACAAATCTCTCTACAGTTATGGATATCACAATCCAGGACTCTCTCGCAGACGTCTCCGCAAGAGAATTGCTTGTGTCCACATCGACGAACATCTTCAACACCTCCACAAAAGCATTTAGCCTTCACGAGCTTGGGGCAAGACGCACAAGGTCCAGGATGGCACAACAGCAAGCAACAGTGACCACAATTGTTGCTTAACGGCCTCTCGCAGACCTCGCCGCAAGAATGAGGCAAGATCCATGGATTATCCGCCGGAGGATCCTCTTCCTTGCCGCAATAACAAAGATACCGCCTTGGGATCTTTGATTTCTGATACGACGATCTACATTTCGGACAGTTCCAGACCGCTTCCGGTTCTGTCGGATTTGAAGAAGGTCGCGTGACTGCACGCGCGGCTTGTAGATCTAAGCATTGACGAGCCCATGATTGAATGCAGAAAAGGTGAAAGACGGCGAAGCATAAGGAAGTGCAGGACCATGTAGGATCGGTTCGTTTAATGCGTTCGAGACAGATTAGGCACGATACAGCACCGGAGGAAGATGAGGCGAGAAACGATTGGATTTTAGCGAGATCGATAGAGGAAGGAGACGAAGATGAGTGGCAATCGAGGTAAGCTTTGAAGATGGAGTTTGATAGATCATTGTGACGATGCTGATGATTATCTGAATCGGATCCGGAGTCTGAATCTGAATCGGAAATGGGTTGCTGTGGTGGTGGAGGCTGTTGCGGTGATTTCCACCGGAACTCGGTGGTGGCGGTTCCGGCCATGGTAGTCATTCTTCTACTTCATCTCCTTCTTAAGGACAAAGTCAAGAAATTAGGGGGGAAGAAGAAGACACGTGATGTTCTCGTGAGCATTGTAATGACCAAATGTACCGGTTCAGTTTGGATTTACCGGTTTAGTTAAGACAGTTTCTAGCTTATCGCTTAAGGCTTCCCGCGTATCGTATGGAAGTAATTGATACCATAAGCATCACTTATCAAATTCTCTATTTTTTTTTTTTTTGCATGCAAATTAAGTCATTTAACACTTCCTTGAATCATTCTGATTAAAAACAAATTATCTAACTCGAAAATACAGCTACTCAGTTTTGAACTCCCTAAATCCAAAGATCTCATATACAAAAGGGATCTCTAAACTCAAATCAGAGTCACAGACCAAAGCATAAGAATCTTGTGGTAGATTCAATCTATGAATGCACGTTGGAGCTCATGGCTTGATGTATTCCCGAATGAAGTCTTCGATCTGGACGGTTTCTCCGGTAAGTCCAGATGCCTCAGCGACAGTAACTTTGTTGGAGCAATGCGAGAAGGAGAACACTTCTCCCTCGATCCCAATGGTGAAGTCATTCGCTATATCAGCTGTAGAGACTGCACTCCTTGAAGCCCTCAGTTTCTCACTGCAAAAACTCATTAACCAATGACGATTAGCTTTTATGCAGGACGATTGGCTTATATATAAGAAAAGTTTGTCAAGAAAACTGAAATTCTTACATTTCTTTCTCCATCTGCTTCCGGATAAACTCCTTGGTGTGTGCAGTGAGTTTATCAGTCTTGTTACAGCAAAGGAGGACTGGAATCTTTTTCTTGACAACATTTGCATTGGTCAAAATGTCGTATAGGTACCTATCACCGTAAGAAACCATGGCAATGCCTCATTTTTCAAGATTGGGATGCAAACATGTCTCTTATGTGTGTCATAAAGTGTGTGTGTGTGTGTGGAAGAGAGAGAGAGGGTTTGAAATTTACTCTGAAGCTGCACGACAGTTTGGGAGGAACTCCAAGGCATCCACTACGAACACAATTGCAGCTGCTTGGGGCAAGAATTCTTCTAGCTTGGGTCGAAGCCGAGAGTGCCCTGGAACATCAACAAGATGAACAGGCTTGATTTTCCCTTTCTGTCACATAGAGCAAGCACGTGACGTGGTTTAGTAATGTGTTAGTCCATCCATCACAATCAACTGGACGTGTTGTTACGGTAGAACAAAGTAAGACTCTATACCTTAGTGTTTTCACTGTGAAGAACAAAAGTGCCTTCATTTGGTTCCATTGATGTTACAGTGCCCTGATGCGACGATCCATCTCGGAGCTGCCAATCAAACAATTATAATGTTATAACTCCCCAACAATGACCTAGTCACTCACACTGACTCAGACAATAGTGGCACGTTACAAAAACAAAGTACATTTGGAGGAAAGTCATAAACAAGGTGACGTCAAGCCAAAACACTCACTTGGTAAAAGAGCACAGTCTTTCCACTTCCGCTCAGCCCAGAAAGGAGTACAGTGTTGGATTTGGTACGTCTGACCAAGCGAACTGCAGACCCCACAAGAACAACAAGTTTAGCAACGAAAGATCAAAAGTTATTAATGTGTATAATCAAAGAGAAATATTGACTAGACCTCAGAAATTGCAATCATAGTTCTAATTTCAATACACAAACCATTTAACACCGAACGAGCTGATACTCTGGCTTAATTACAAGTCTAGAATGGTACCATGAGAACAATAACCTCTTCAATTGTAAACAATAGCAGGCAGAAGAAAAACTATTGAAGACATTTAGAAGAACAGGCTATATGTCCTTATCAATGGCAAAGGAGATAACACCAAATTTAGCAATTCTATTAGGAAAGATTAAGAAACAACAAAGTGGTGTCTAACACATACCGGATAGGAAGAGCAAGATAGTTGTAAACAACAAAACACCAATAGCGGCATACAACTGAGTCGGTGGTATCTTCTGAAGATATTCAATTCCTTGATGCGACCACTGCTCAGCCAGAATTTTTAGATCTTCCAAGTTCTCCATTTCTTTCTCTCAAGTTTCACTTCTTCTGCCAAGCTGTTTAAAAACCTGCATCCAGAGATGTAATTCATTCCTCTAAGACATAAAAAATAACCATAATTATTGCCCAAATTTATATCTGAAAAACCTCGGACCTAACAGAAATCAACAAGAGTGAACTAGAAAACTCGGTTCTCCAACAGAAAACAACATGCATGGGAGTTTAAAACTGCTTCCCGAAAAAAAAAATTGAAATCGGAACTTTCTAATATTTGCAAACATTATACCAATTCTGGGTTCTCACATTATCTTGTTCAATCTTGACCTTTGTTATAAACCCAGTACGATGACCATAATCATCATTCTCACATCTTGTGAACAAGTAACACAATTGGTTTACCCCAATTTAAAACCGTACCAGATCAATCCAACCCGTAGACCCATAAAACATCATCCCAAGTTATGAAAGAAAAATGCTAATCCTACATTGATGCGCTGCTTCACCGAGATGTAAAAAATACAAACAGATTCCTCTAATATTTACCAGATAATGAGTTTAGAGAAACGAGAGCTAAGAAATTCACAGATCTAAAGTTACCCAAGGATAAATGAATCAATTAGGTAGAGGAGACAGAAACGCACCGATGCGAGAGGAGGCGGAAGACAAATACAACGACGGTGGAAGCGGAGAAGAACACGGCGACGATGATTTAGGGTTCAGATTCAATTTTTATATATTATTTTAAAACAAGTCCTTCATTTCAGTTTTTTTTTATTAGACAGCACAATTTATTTCAAAAGAAATTTAATGGGCCGAAAAAAGCCCATTATATTTACGCGGCGTCGTTTAACTGTACCTGCTGGTCCTGCTTCATTGCTCTTCCCTCCGTTCTCTTCCCGCTCTTCTGCATCTCCGGCCGACGAACACAGATACACTTGAGTGAAAGAGAGAAAGTATGAGATTTAACTTCCAGGAGCCAGAGGATACGCCAGATTCAAGGCGGTCCCCGACGTCCAAAGAGCCGGTTCGGTGGGTTCCTCTTCAGAGCCACCCGGTTTTCGCTTCTCTTCCCTTCTCCCAAGATGAACCCGCCGTGTCGCAGCGGTTTCCGAGGAATTTCATGGCTTGGGACGGAGACTCGCGCCTATACTACTGGGATTCTAGACGATATCTCCTTCATCGGTTATCTCTGCGCTTGGGTGAACCTGAACCATCCTCCGTCCTCGCCGCAGTCCCGTCTAAGGTCATTTTCTCTCTCTTTCTGTTTTCACCGCTAAGTCGGCTTAAATGAGTACTGAAAAGAAGATTTATCGAAAGCGGAAACGGATTTCTTAGTGCGATTTTTGCTGACATTTTACTGACTTTGAGAAATTAGGTTTAGGAAGAGTTTGAGAAATTAGATTTCTTACTAATAGATGATAGGAAGATCTTCTACTTGCTATTTCTTAGTGTCAAAAACCTATAGTTTTCCTCTTGGCTTGCTACATAGATGAATTATAGGTGATTCATCATGTAAGGATATGAATCTTAATGATAAAATGTGATTGTTTTGTCTGGACATGGGGACTGTATTAATGTGTGAAAGTGTCCTTTTTGATGGTATGCAATAAGATGGTGATTGTTTGAATTAGAAGCGTGGGGATCGATAGCAATATAGGTGTTAACTATCCTTCTAATTGTAAGGGTTTGAAAGAGTTGTTTTAGTTGTGTCTTCGAAGTTTTATTGGTTGGAGCTGCTGGAGAAAAATGATCAAGAAATAATGTGATTGTTTGGTCTGATGTACTTGTACATGGCTGGTAAGGAATGTCCAAGGTTCTGCTACTTTTTTGATTGACTAAGTTTTAGTAAAAATGATATTTAGGTGATGCAACCAGACCTTCAGATGACAATTTCTGTTAGCAAAATCTCCATCAATAAGTCTGGATCAGCTGTACTTCTTGCCGGCTCAGATGGAATATGTGTGATGTACCTATTTGGACGTGCTTCTGTGGTAGAAGACAATGTCATTTGCAGGTAGTGATTAAAGTTGCCCTAATAAGATGCATTTATATGATTATGATGTTACCTGGCTTAAATTAATGGCCTTCTGCTTATACGTTATCACTTCATGATCTATGGGTTGCAGGGTAGTTTCTATTGGTTCAGAAATCTATACTAGTGGTGACAGTGCCATAAACTTGCTACAAGCATCGTGGCACCCTGACAGTGACACCCATTTGGGAATTTTATCCTCGGATGCAGTTTTCAGGTAACAATCTTTTCGGTTGATAATGAAGGTGGATGTACATGTCAATATATTGATGAATATCATGTTGGAAAGATGTTAGAGAAATTATATAATAAATTCAGTAACAAAGGTTGTAGATTCTTAACTTCCGGCATGCAATGACATACTATGTTGCCATTTGGTTCAGTGTCTCATTGTAAGGAGTTCCAGTTAATCCTGTTTAAAGAGCTTCTTGGCTTACTAAAAGTTATTTGCATGCTACACTTTTTGCTAGGCTTTTCGATTTGTCTTCCGATGCTGAGCTACCAGAGCAAGAATATTATCTGCAGCCCGGTGAGCCAGGAAGATCTAGAACAGCTTCATCAATTTATCCTGCTGATTTCAGTTTTGGAGGAGATCATCTGTGGGATAGATTTACTGTAAGTTCAGTATAAATTCTTGCTCCACCTGTTTGATAACTGATTACTATTTTTAGTTGTCCTGTCAAATAGAGCCTTGAGGATTACATGTTTAGGTCTTGACAGAATCTTTCAATGGTGCAGGTCTTTATATTATTCACTGATGGTTCAATTTATATCCTGTGCCCAGTTGTGCCATTTGGAAGGTAGGCAGATGATGGTTCTTTCTCCTTTTCGTTCCTCTCTGGCAGTTTTTTAATAAGTTTCTATTCGCTTGAAGTTGTACCTGCTATGCTAAATATCCAAGATAGTTCAACATTTAGTTTCGTTTTGGTTTTCTGGTTTCTTGAACAAGATATGAATGGTTCTCATTAAGCTGTTTTAGATCACAGATCTAGGCTCGCTAGCTCATTTGAAGCTTTTCAGGGGTAAAATCAGCTGGGTCCCATGATTCCTTTGATATATCAAATAGTTTATTCATGCTGACGCAGTGATGCCTTGTATACAGATGCATTCCTTCCACGGACTATCATCCCTATGTCAAACTTTAATAAGTCATGGAAGATGTTTTAGTACTTTGTGATGTTTCGTGTTTTAACGGACCTGGAAGTTGACTGAGATACTTTGAATGTTTATTGCTACAGTGTTTACAAATGGGAATCGATAATGGAGATTTACAACGATGCTAATATGTATGGGGTTAAGTCATCCAATTCGATTGCAGTTAGCAACTCCAGTCTGGCAATTGAATGGTTGGAAGCTACATTTCCAGATTTGACTGAACAAGGAACTAGAGGTGAAAATATATTGGTCGTGAAAGCTCATCCTTATGCTTTGCTTGACGCATCATTAGCTTTACAGGTATGGATTCCTCATCTTTATGGTTTGTTACGTGAGATTTTTGAAGTGCTCCTCGTAGATTTTAGTTGTTTCACCAATGTTCTAGATTTGTGGTTTATAATCCAGTGGTCTTCATCAAAGATTTATACCCTCCTTAACTTAACTTGATATGGAACACAGATCGGGCAAAAAAGATGACACCTATCCACATGTTCCCTAAGTGTTCTTTGTTTGTCTACTGCTTGCCTTGGAATGCTAATCTCTTGTTTTCCTTGTGCACAGGGCCCTTTATATAAAGCATCTAATGGTGACGGAGATGAAGATTTCGCTGTTCGGGAGGCAGAATGTAAAGGGCGGGCAGTGAGTCTATTATATAATCTTGTCAGCAAAGATTCGATCCTGGTAACTGCCTGGAGTGCTGGACAATTACAGGTTGATGCCCTGGTTGATGAAATCCAGCCAGTTTGGATATCTGGTAACTCATCTCGTCTTCGCATGAACTCCCACAACAAAATACAAGGAGTTGCAATGATTTGTGAGTCAAACATAGGTGAGCTTCCAGTTGCAACTTCAAACCTGCCGCTCGATCACACTGTTTGGTTAGGGCATCCGCCGCCACTGTTAAGACTTGCAATGGTTGATTTGGCTCTTCCCACACGGCGTGAAGGTGGCTCTCTTGTTACCTTGTTTGCTGACTCTCTTTTGCCAGAACGAATATACTCCCTCCACGACGGTGGCATTGATTCAACAGTCTTACACTCTCTTCCCTTCACAAGTCAGGCCACTGGAAAAGATGAAGCTCTCAAAACGCCATCTGTTCACACTGTCCTAAGTACATGCCAAGAAGAATCCGCTGTATCTCCTCTGTTGGGTTTTGTGCCTCTGTCGGATTCGTTTGGGTATGCATGGATCATTGCAGTCTTATCCTCAGGAGAATGCATTGTGGCAGAGATGAAAACCTGGGATCTGTTGCTTCCAATTCATGTCGGTACAGATAAGACAGTATCTTCAAGCCAAATAGAGAAAAAAGAGCAAGATAACTCTTGCATCATTAGCAAGGAGCTCCTTGCAGGTCCCAAAATTAGAATTGCTCCCCATGCTTTACCTACCCAGCGTTCAACTCCAGCCAATTCTGTAGAGGGCCGATCAATTCTGCTTGACTATGTCAAGCTTTTCCATGAAAACTACATCGAATATGCCCACAAGGTGAGAAAGAAGTAATGTAAACCCAACACAAAAGCGTCACTGTGCTTTCTACACGATGACGAATGAGATCTCGTTGTGTTTTTGGCAGGTCTACTTTGAGCTGCAGCATCATGCTCCTAACCTGAAGAGAATAATCGATGACCAACACCAGCGGCTTGCTGAGGCAAATGAGAAAATATCAAAAGTTGACAAGAACCAATCATTTCTGGAGAAAAGGATTGACAAAGCAATTGGAAGACATGATTCTCTTGAGCAACGCTTGCAACGTCTCCGTAGCTTGCCTGGTACACACAAGAAACCTCTGACGAGAGCAGAACTGGATTTTAAGTCGGAGCTCGGTAAATCAATATCCCCCATAAATTTTGTCTTACAGTGATAATACCGAAACCCATTTCATCATCTTTTCTTTTCGTTTATAAATGAAAAATTGCAGATCAATATGCGGGAGTTGAGGTGGATGCGCTTCAATCATCCATTGAAACACTGAGAGCAAGAGTGAAGAAGTCAGCTCAAAAATCTCCCAAGGACAAAGTAGTCGCAGGTACTCAGAAAAAGCAGTATTCGAAGAAAAACTTAATTCAAGATACACAAATGTCACAGCTTCAGTCCACACTCGCCAAACTATCCCTGATGAACAGCGATAACTCCAAGAAAGTCAAGATCGTGGAATCTGCGCTGAAATTGCAAGAAAGCAGCTTCATGTAGCTATACTCACTGTAACAGTGGGACGCAATTATTATTTCCTGAACTGACTAGATTCTGTTCAAATTTGAATATAGTTGCTGCACTAAATTTTCTAACTCTTTCCTTGTAAGTTTTGTCTGTTAATCAAGCTACGGTATTACTTTAATTTGTCTCTGTAAATGATCATTTTCTGCAAACTATTCCTATGAACTCATAAGACAACAAAGAGTAGGTCAAGCTACTCATGTTTGAACGATTGAAGAAGAAGAGATTTATACAAACATAGGGCTTGATTGAGTAATGGTAACTTTTATTGTCCAACACTAACCCAAAAGGATCAAAAAGAA